CCAGCAATATGTCAAAGTGTGAGTCCCCAATAAATGGCAGGGCTAGAACTCAAGGTCACGTCTCCAAGCCCTATTCACTTTCCATTATATTACTGAGCCAACTTCTACTTCAAGATACAAAATCCCTGATTATATATTCTTTTCAAAACTACCTTATATTGAAAAGAACAATGTAAATGCAGCAGTCCGTTATGTAGCATAGATCATCTGGGGCATTTCTGCTGAGGCACCTAAAGGCCTGTCCATATGTTCAGTCCTAGGCTCAACCCTCTCTAGGATCATGTTGTTTCACTGTAAATCAAAGATGAAGAAGTCCACAATTTTTCAAATCTTTAACAAGCCCTTTTACTTCCATTAAACACACAAGTGTCAAATACAAGAAAATAAAATGCATCTGTAAAAAGAAATTCTGCTCAGGAACAAAGATGGATGAGCAATACAGGCACAGGGTTGAAGGGCAAACACGTTATGCTAAATGAAAATGGTAGACACCCAAAACTCAAGAGCTCCAAACTTCATGAATTGATTGGCATGGCATATTTTCAGGGGCAATGCGGAAGATGCAGATTCAAATCAGGTAAGCAGGCTGGAGGTGAGGGAAGACACTGAAACCTGCTCAGGGTAATAGCGTATATAACAGCTGGGCACACTTTCTAAACCCCTGGAACTTTGGAACTGAAAAGAATAAAGTTGAGTGTGTAATCACAGCTTCCAAATTTGAAAAATTCAAATCAAAAGGAAAATATAAATCTATAGAAAAGAAGATAAACAGAGCCAAGTCTGGGCTGCAACAAAGCCTTCTGGGTAAGGAGCTGTGGTAGACCTTAGGAGGCAATTTAAGGAAACAAAATGCCAATATTCTAATGCCACAGCGTCTCGGAAGGGAAAGAAGAGAGACTCATTCTTCATATTTAATTACGTACTTAAAAGGCATTTTCAATCTATCTAAGAATATTTTCCTGCTTTGAGTAGAAACTGATAAAAGAGAATGAATGTTCTTTTTATAATCAGTGGAAATAACGATAAAGCATAAGACACACGCCTGACTGGAGAGCTAAGTAACCTCAAGAGCTCTGAAGCCCTCCCCATCCTGTCTTATTTCTGCTCAAGGATGCCTGCCCGACAGTACCAACAAAGGCAGGTCAATCAATACCTCCTGTAGAGAGCTGGCCTTCATTCTCATTCTTGACAGTTTCTCTCTCAGGAAAGAGAGAGCACCAGAGTGATATAGGTACTACAGAGGCAGGAGGACTCCTCTCAGTGAGACAAAGCCCTTTCTTCCCACTTCCCATTACATCCATCCTATAGCGTTTCTGTCGACTCTTGCTGTAACTACTTCACCAAAGGGAGAATAAGGATGGAGCAGAGTCACAATGCACACTTCCATCAGCTTCAAAGTAAGACTTACTCACACAGCCAGAGAGACTCAGCAACTCAAACTAAAAAGCCTTGTGATTTTTGCCCACGATGACTAAAGTCCCTGACACAGCAACTTTGGCTCTGCTTTAACAGTAGATGGCAAATTCAGATACTGTTCTTTATCTACGAGATTGAGGCATTTCTTCTCTTCAGAATGTGATTCTAGGCTATGGCATGTAAATGAATTTATTTCGTACATATTCAGTTGAAAGATACCACCACAAAGAAGAAAAAGTAGCAGATCAAAATGCAAACGTAAGAAGAAACCTTTCTCTGTGGGACTACTGCCTTATTAATTGAAGCCAGTTCTTTCTAGTCCAACACTAGATTTTATTTTGCAGTAACTAGAAAAAGAATTGGACTATTCCAACAGGAACCCGTGAACATTGCAGATCCTTCTACACATCAGTGTAATAGGCATAGTTCTGAATTGTTTATTCCCATAGATTCTGCCCTAATCTAAGTTTCATTTTGAAGTACTAATGAGGCCGGTAAGACATCAATGACAACACAATCAAATATCTAAGATTTTTATAAGATTAGAATTGATTCAGCAATCTCTGTGGCACTGAACACATTTTAAATTTTGTCTTAGCCAGCCAATGGTGTCGCATGTCATTAATCTCAGCATTTGGAAGGCAGAGGCAGGTGGATCTCTGAGTTTGAAGCCAGCCTGGGCTACAGAGTAAGTTACAGGACAGCCAAAGCTACACAGAGAGACCCTGTCTCAAAAAAAAAACCAAACCAAACAAACAAAAACCACAAAAGGTTTACCTTATTTGCTATCAATAGATATAGTCAGTTCTCTCAATATTTGCACTTCTGATGCTTTGTCCACCATCTCCACTCAAACTACTTGTGCCTCTGCATCTGAACCCCAGCCCCTTTGGAACACGTATTGCTGAAATCTACTTTTTTCCAGTCTGTTAATGTCCATCATTTGGTAGTGGGTGTTCAGACCACTCATCATTTTATAACTATGAATATGGTCAAAATACAGTTGTCATGTTACTGGCCGTTCTCTACATGTCTCCTGTCTCATGTGTTCTTTATTTCTGTCATTTTATTCTTTTCGTTGTTTGTAGGACAGTGATTCCAACCCTTTTTTTATGGCAAAAGGTCTTTCATTATGATTGCCAATAAAACAGCAGCTGGTTTTGTACAAGTAGAACTGTGTGTGCCAGACTCAAGTGAGACCGTCGTCTTCCACTGTTTGCTTTCTTCCTAACTCCACTTCTTGAAGAAGTAGATGAATAAATAATTATTCAACATGTGGGCTATGGAGAAGCCTCGAATAGCATGTATATATGCATAGGTATTGACACACATACTGAATGAAGGTGAGGGAATAATAACATTATTATCATCTTTATCTAACACATTTATCTAAAGTGTCTGATTATTATATATTTATACTAAAGATTTAAATGTAACATTTAAACTTTTTAAATAAACACTTAAAACACTTAATTATGATGCCTCTCTGATGGGTGTTTATAATTGTTCTCAATGGTTCTTCCACTTTTCTAGGGAAAGTGACCAGTCAGTAAATTGCCCATGAGAAGCTGAGTTTGGATCCCTATTACCCACATATAGAGCTGGTAATGGTGGCCTTGGCTCATTAGCCTAGAGAAGTGGAGGCAGAGATAGAAGACTCTTGGCGCTCTTTGGACAGTACTGATAAATTGGTGAGCTCTAGGTTCATGAAGAGAACTTTTCTCAAAATTATAGTGAACCATGACAGAAGGAGACACATGATATTGACATCTGTTCTCTCTCACATGTATGTGTATGCATGTGTACACACACACACACACACACACACACACATACACGAGAGAGAGGGGGGAGTAAAAGTTAAAAACATATGCTTATTCTTAAACAATACAAATAAATCTATAGGAATCACTTCCATGATTCCTCTCTCCAGAGGGTTCAAGCTTCATAATGAAGATAAAGAAATGCTAAAACATCTGGGCAGACCTTGTAAGTTTCCCAATCTGTCTTATTGGTAATCATGTTCTTCAGAGAAGTCTCTGTAATTTCCCAAAGGGAAATCAGAGAGCTTCCAAATATCTAGACAAATAGAGCCTCCTAGAGGGTGTGGCTCCTAGAGATACTTAAGCATCTTTTTCCACACCTTGCCCTGTGCATTTCTTCATCCATGTCTTATGTAACAGCATTTTAAACAAGCATATTTAAACAGCAAATATAAATGCTTCTCCGTGTTAAGTGATCATCTTGAATTCAAGAAGGGGACTGTGGGAATCCTGATTTACAGCTTGTTAGTTGGAAGCGTGGGTTACAAACTCTGGTGCTGTGATTAGCTGCTAATACAGGGACAGTCTTGGGGAATTGACCTGACATTCCTTCAGGTAGCTCACAGAGGATCTGTATTGAGTTAGAAGATGCCCAACTGTCTGGTTATCTCCGACAATCCCTCCAGGTAGATCATGGAGGTCCTGGATTGAATTAGAAGCTGCCCGGCTGCTTGGTGTCCACTCTAGAAGTGCTTGCTTGCCAATGGAAACAAATTCCTCACTTTTCAAGGTCAGAGAAATGATCTGTGTTTAGGTTGTGTGGGTAAAGCCAAGATTCATTTTACTTCCCTGGTGGTCTAGCCTATTATACAGCAAAAGATGTATTATTAAATCATCTCATTAGGAGAAGGTAAGCAGTCATATAGATTCTGTGGCTTTTGTCTCAAGTTCACAGGACAATCACATTGCATCTTGTACAGGAAACACCACAGACAAGCTTAATTTGCTCTTTGTTTCTTCCTCGTAGAGTACCAAAGTAAAAGCTGCAATGGAGCTTAAAAAAATAGCTGGTACTTTGGAAGAAGTCCCATTCATTCTGGAGAAAATATGTATTTAAAATCACAGTAATCACATTCTTCTTTGAGTCATTTTTTATTTAAGATATAAAACAGGATGCTCATTGACCTTGACGTAAATTACACAGCTGATGCACAAGATAAGACAGAACTATACAAAAATATCAAACCTTTGACCTCACAATAGTGTACAGGATACGCCATCCACAGAGCATTCCAAATGCTCTTTTACACACTCAGCTAATTCTAATTATACCTCGTACATGACTGTCACCTTGCAGCAGATTCCATGAATTTCTTTTTTTTTTTAATATTTATTTGTTTATTATGTATACCACATTCCTTCCATGGATGCTTGCATGCCAGGAGAGGGCACCAGATCTCACTATAGATGGCTGTGAGCCACCATGTGGTTGCTGGGAATTGAACTCAGAACCTCTGGAAGAACAGTCAGTGCTCTTAACCAGTGAGCCATCTCTCCAGCCCAGATTCCATGAATTTCAATGCAAAAGGTTCTTTATTCTTGACTGTCAACGAAGCATTTTTATCTAATCATTTTCTAATAAGTCTATGCACATACCTCTAAGTTGTCCCTTTGATAATAAGTTCAGTTTGAGGTCAGTTAGGAAAACGAGCAATCTAATAACTTTAAACTAGGCAATGCGGAAATGTGGGGTGGGGGGAGTGTAGTGGATGCTCCAGGGCAGTAGTTACTAAGTGCAGTGTTCTTCTTTTTAATAAGATGTATACATGGTGCGCACAGCCTATCCGCAGTCTTACAGCTTCACAGTAGTAACAAACAGGACACCATCCCGACAGGCCAGTGTTTCTTAACCCTGCAGCCAGGACTGGCTGCTTGCAGGGCGAGGGCAGCAGGTAAGTCCGACTGAAATGCTAAACCACCTGCATGGAATGCATTTCTGCATGGAATGGCTCTATGAGGAAGAATCTACAGACTGTGGTTTCAGACATTGGACTTCACATGACTCTAAGATGTGTTAACCCCAGAAAGTTCCCCGGGGTCAATCCATCAGAAAGAGTACACTTTCGCTCATATAGTGACAAGTACGTTTGGGTGTGCTGTGGGGTGTGACACATGGAATCTCAGCAAACTCTGGTCATTTCCATGGATTGGGTGGTAGAAATCAAGATGGGTAGGTAGTTTCATTTCCTCGCCTGCCTCCATTTCTTTAGTATTTATCAAAGTATAAGCTGTCATGTGACATCGGGTCTACATGTGGTGACTCCCTTCACTATGGCTACTCTATGGAGAAGAGGAAAATCAATATTCACTACCCCTTTCTTCCTCCAGCTCTCTCCAGCTCTTGAATACAGAAATGGGGACAAACTATGCTAATAGGGGTTGATTATGGGTGGGTTTTCATTCTGATGTCATTAGGAAGATTTCTTTTAAGATCCCCTGCACCCCAGTTTATATGCGTAAATCCAATGGATGAGAGATCAGATATTCAGCCTCAAACTGTTGCACGTAAACTCCACACCCCTTTCTCTGAGTATGTACCTTGAAGCACAAATACCAAACACAGTCACAGCACTGAGTGTCATTGGCCCCTGCTTTATAGTCATGATCCTCATAGGTTCTCTTTCCACAGGTTAGGAACTGTAGACTTCCCTGGGCCAGATGCTTTTGTAGGGCTGGGACTTGCCTGCCTCATTCTCCTCTGCTTTCTCCTTACTGGTGATGGCTAAATGCCTTACTCTGAATTTGTACATTTGAGGTAAAATTTTAATAATGAGTATAAAAAACACTGAATAGTTCATAAGATGAATGCTGTAATTTAAGTAACAGTATAATGCTATTGCTTTTTAAATTTTTTTAAAAATTATGTAATTTTTAGTAGGATACTACAGTACTTCCATTTGAGAAATGGTGGCATGATAATACCCGTTCCCCTCATGTGGTGTTAGAATTCAGACCTGGAGCCTTGAATGAGCTCTGTGCACTCAACTATGGGGCCACACCCAGCCTTGACCGTGGCCTTTTGCCATGTGCTTTGGCTTTCCATTCAGCAGACTTACTGGACAGTGGTGGTTTCCAGATTGCGGGTAGCTAGAGCTTGGGGACCACTGTCCAGTTGGAAGCAAGAGCCCAGGCTCTTCATTTGGAAGTATTATCTGCATTTAAAGTCCCTTACATTCAATTAATTTGCATATGCACTTTCAAAACAGCAGCGTCTTGAGGACGCAGACTTCTTTTAGCTTTTGAAATTGTCCCTTGGGTGAGGATGGGGATTGGAAAATACCCAGTTGCTGAAGGCTTAAATCTCCCCAGTTTCTCCCATAGAACCTTGGAGAATAGTGTCTCATATAGTTGTAAACCTCTCAAGGAAGGATGCTGCATCTCTGAAGTACAAATACTGTAGGGTGCCATGCTAACCCTTTGGAGTGTCATTAAGGAATCTGGGATGGAAAACCAGAGTGAATGATCTGTCCACTGAAGCTGGCGTTCTCAGTAAAAGGAGCACACGTCTTAGTTACAAGCTACTAAAGCAGTCTTCCTGAAAACCATTTGAGGAGACGAGTGATGGGAGAAAGAAGCTTGAGGGGTTTTAAGAACCAATGAAGATGTCATAAAATGCTATTTTGAACAATTATTTGCCCGAAGTTACTTTATTTGGACAACAAACTACACCCTGGTACACAAGGCAGATTCTGGCACTGGCACATGAGACAGGCTCTGGCCCTGGGTCTTTCTCTAGTTTGCTCAGCACCGTGCAGAGTAGGCTAGGAGTTCATATGGAACTGATGGTGTGGTCAATGAAGACGCTATAGCAAGCACATTGTAATACAGTGTTGCTCTATCCCAAGTTATTTTATACAAATATTTCTACTTCCCAATTGAGCTTAAACCTCAGTTTATACAAGAAAAAGTAGATGGCTTTCTATGAAAAATATATGCACATTACTTATATATATTCATATATCTATATTTATAGATAAAAATCATTCTGACTGCCTAAACATCAAATTTTATAAAAGTCTCTTTCTCTACAAGCTTTTTTTTTTCAAGTATACATACGCCACAGAAAATATTTGGGGTCTAAGTTGTCAAGGATCCTAGTGCTCAGAGAAAAATAGTTTAAAAAATAGTTTAAGTTGCATTGCTTGTGTTTGAATTGGATCACAAAAGCTAGAAATGTTTGCTAGAGAAGACTTCTCACTTCGCCTTTTTTTTTTTTTTTGGAGTGTTTTGAGAAGGTTTCTCTGTAACTCCTGAGTGGCTCTGGTTTTCAGTGGTGTGCAGGCCACCTTCTGTGTTTTCTTGCTTTCAGCTCCTTCCTCCTGCAAGTTCAGATTGCTTTATTCATATTAAAGGATGATCAATCTTAGACATTTAATATTAAAGGATGAATAATCTATAGCATTCTAAGTTCTTGGATTGATACAACCAGTATTTTCAGCATAACTTGAAGTTTGATTAGAGCGTGTGCTTACGTGTGTGTGTGTGTAGATGGTGAGCATTGATCTGTGTCTCTAGACACCAGTTTTTCTACTATGTAGGATGCAGTTTACTTCAGTGGTATGCTCCAGTATCTCATATGAGTTGATAAAGTCTGACACACATTCCTAGGAATGCTGCAGTCCAAATAGGGGTTTTTTAGGTGTCTGAAAGTGGCGTGCGGAGAGAGCAGTGACATCACGGAAGTCAGATATTGGGGTAACTGTCCCTCCTGAAGAACAGTTTGTTGAGTAATTTATTCATGTTCCATTGTTTGTGTGCTCAGGAAAGGGAATGCATGCATAGTTCAGTTCATACTGGGAGCATCAGTGCTTAAGAAAATCAAATCAAAGGTACAAGATATTTGGTGATTTATTTTAATCCGTAAATTCATAAATAGTCCTAAGTATTACCCAATTTTATTGTCTTAAATAATGTTGCATAATTTAGTAATTTCTTATTTATATGTTCTAGAATATGTCTATAAAGCTAATTTGGGGCATCCATTATCTTTTTAAAACGCAAAGCCTCTGCCTTCATAGTTTTTAACTTACAAAATACTGACTAATCTTAAAAACTTAAATATTAATGAAAGTGAAGACTTATGAGAAGCCAAGAAACAAACTTCCATCCCTGGTGTTGCTTTTGTGTGCTTATTTTTTTCCTATCTTAGTAAGTTCTGCCATTTGTTGTTCTTCAGTTGTTCTCTGTTTAAATGGTATATGTATGTGTATGCAAATGATTACACACACAGAAACATAGTTACTATAGTAGAGAAGAGATATCTGGCTCCTTAAATATTTACTACTAACCGGGAATAACGTACGTTAAAAACTGGTCGTCAAGTGGTTTTGGCACCTTTTTATCTGGCCAACTGCTGTTACTCTCCTTAAACGTTCAAAATGTCTTCATTTCTGTCTTGTCCTTTTGGCTTAGCAACATTTTGAGTTTAAATATGCACACGTATAGCTCAGTGTACAAAGTTCAGCGCCTGGTAGTCCCTGATGTCAAATATGAATCTAAATGGAGCGATTGAATTTTATTCCCAAAGACATGGAGTTAGGAGTAGGGCTGCTGAGTGGGAGTGTGCTGGAGTTGGGCACCGTGGTAATTGAGCAAGAAACACCTGAGTTCTGATGGGGGAAATATTGCAGGAGGAAGCCATTACTTCTGTAGCCGGCGAGAGACAGTGAGAATGAAGAACACACCTTCTTTCTTCTCGTTTCCTGTCCACCTTTCTTCCAGCCAAGGATGACTATGGCAACCTCATGTCCTTCCCTTACGCCTTAGGATCTTATACATAGGACTGGAAAGCTAAAAGGTAGGCTGAACCTGGCCCTCAGATAATTCCTCAGAAATACATTTTTAATAATCCAACCCAAAACACTTAATTTCTCTGTTGGCATTTCATGTTTTGAGGAGAGCAGAGTCTAGGTCTTTGGGAGTATTGACAGGTTCTGGTTCTTATGGTATTCAGTCAAGCAGAGAAATGGCTTTGGGGCAGGAGGATCAGCAAATGTTACAGCAGTAGTTCACACATGAAGATACTATACATTCATTCCTTGTTATTCATCTTAGAAATGGAGCAATCCGGGAGCTTAATTACAGCAGAGTTCAAGGCCCTTAGGGGTTATTTCAGTAACAGAGAAGTACACACAAATGAGTTTTAGCTTTCTGTTGGGTTAAGTTTTCAAGGTATAGATTCTTTAAACTATATTTCTTGGTTTCTTTTTAAATTCTGAGATGCCTTGCTCAAAATCAGTGTGTTCTTTGTAAATCTAAAACTGGCTCAGGAGACTGCTTTTGCAATAGTAACATGAAATGTATTTGGAAAATTCAAAAATAAACACTCATATCTTGGGGTTTTAAAAGAACCTTATACCAAGCATTGAGGAGTCTCCTTCTTTAGCGTAACATCTGGAAGCCCCAGCATTAAACAGCTGCTCAGCAAAGGTGACTTTAGCCTCTTTGGGTTATCTATCCATGTTCTTATGGTTCATTAAGCCTCTGGGCATCACACATACACTGTGGTTTTTCATAACTAATCACTGTTATGCTACACAAACTGTTTTAAGTGTCTGATTGCTTTTTTTTTTATAAAAGAGGTTTGTGTTTTAGAGTTCAATATAAATTAAGCACTTTTACTTTTGGTAAAAGTTTAAATGAATAGGCTCAGTGCACTTGTTTAAATGACTCTCTCGACTGTCTATTCGACATAGAATTTAAGCTCAGTTTCACTGTACGCTAAGCACATTGGAAAACACTATTTCCAGCTCCAGAACCCAAGAAGTCACTGAGCGTCGGCTCTGTGGTTTCACTCTACTTTCAGTCCATATTGGATATGGGCTCTGCTAGGCAGTCTTCCTCATTAGAATCGGGCGATCTTTCCCACTCCATGCCTTTGTTGGGCATTTACAAACTCTGAGTGCCGCTCTGAAGCTGTCATCAAGAGGAGAAGCTTAGTTTACATCGTGCTGAGAGTCACTGTTTCGGTGAACACAGAGCTCTTTTCATGCATCCCTGGAATGCTCCGCGTGGCATCTAAACACATAAACATACATGTACTGGGGATTCTTCTTTAAAACCCTTTGTCATTTCCCTTACTCAACAAAAATGAGCAATTATTAAAAGTATTTCTCATCACTTCCTAACACATATCTTTGGGTACCCTTTTTGGATCATACTTGATCTGTCACTTTCCAAGGGAGTAATCCCGGCAGATGGATGATGAATGACATATAGTCATGTGACCATGTCTTTGGTTATATTTCTGAATTTCTTCTCACATGATTGAGGCAAACCTGAGAATAGATCATTGAATAATTGTTACTGTCCTCTTTTTCTCCTGTAAAATATTTCATTTCTCCATTTTCTTCTTTAGTGGCCTTTTGAAGAATCCAATCTGTTTAGAAAATACAAGATATAACAAATGAATTGTTTTAATTCAGGCAATAGATGCTAATCTATTTAGACATAATCTAAGTAATCATACATCATAAAATCCGGGTATGCAATTAATTCAGATAACCGATGCATATTTTATCTGAACAGTTAATACTGAATGCAAATTAGATAATATCTGTCAAACTGCTACTTCATCCTTGGCCATTTCACTGCACCAGCTACATAGGAAAAACCGTGCACATTTGCAACAAGCAGCATTCTGGGAAGTGTCAGACAAGCAAATGACAATTAATCGACAGGGCTTCTACGTTGTCATTGTCGTTATTTGTTTTTAAGTGGCAGAGACTTTTCCATCAAGTAATCAATGGTCGGATATTGCAATTCTTAGAGTTTACAGTGAGCCTGGTGGACGGCCATGAGCAAGGAAAATGTCTGAATTATCTGGTTGTCTCTAAGTAGGTTAGAACGTTGCACACAAGCTTTCCAGGAGAGGTTGCTCAAAAGATCCCATGTCATTTACTTATGAAAATAGAGCTACTGAGGGTAGGGAAAAGAAATCACATGTGGTTAACGTAAGTCACATTTCATTATTTTCTGTCACTGAACCATCAGCAAAAGTTAGCAGCCTTATGTTTTTATATTATCCCTAAAAAAAACTTTTGACACTAGATACTGTTATTCCTTATACTCTGGTCCCTTTAAGGGCTAACCACGCCCACTTCCAGCCACTTCTGACCTTGTCACCGTCTTGCCTTTCCCTTTTTCGTCTCTTGCCGTGTACACACGAGTCTCTGTCTCTCCCTATGTTTCTCTTTACGTCTCTCTGATTTCCTCTTTTTAAGTAATAAATATCTCCCTCACCTCTAAATAATAAATGTTTAGCTTTATGTATAGCCTTATGTCCATTTACTCTGCCGTCCACCGCATCCAGCCGCCTGACTCTGCCACTTGCCTGGGGACCCTGTACTGCTCTGGCGGCAGCCTCTGCCTGGCTCGCAGGCCGCCCGGGGCATCCCATCATCATATTCTTTTTAAAGAACAATAGATACGACTTTGGAAGTGACATAACTTTGTATTAAAATTTGCCGAATACCTTAAATCTCATTTAATTTAAATAGTTTAAACTATTTAATATTAAATTTAAATAGTTTAATCTTCTTTAAACCTAATGCTTAACTTTTAAAAAACACACCAGCGCATGCCTTTAATCCCAGCACTCAGGAGGCAGAGGCAAGCGTATCTCTGTGAGTTTGAGGTCAGCCTGATCTACCAGAGCTAGTTCCAAGACAGGCTCCAAAGATACAAAGAAACCCTGTCTTGAAAAACAATAAGTAAATAATAAATAAATAAATAGCACACCTAAGGGTACTAGGAAAGTAGCTTATAAATTTTGTGTGCTCTAATTTTTTCCTAATTTGAGTGAGTTAATTATTTGGAAATGTAGCATGCCCATATCACAGAGATCTATGGATCTAGCTATGGATTTCCCAGGGTGTGCTATTGTGGGAGTTTGTCTGGGTGGTGGTGGTGGCAGTGCAATTTGCATGCAGGGGACAGAAGCTAAACTTGGGCATGGTGCCTTAGGCACTGTTGATTTTGCTTTTTGAGACAACATCTGTATTTGGCCTGTTAGACTAATCTGACTAGCCAGAGAAGCCTGGGGAGGGGGAGGGGGAGGGTACTCTTTCCACTGCCAGTGCTGGGATTATAAACACATTATAGGTATCTCCATGCCAACATGCACAACTTTTTTTTAAAAAGATTTTTATGTGCAGTTGTGTGTGTGTGTCTCTGTGTCTGTATGTGGGAATGTGCATGTGAGAGCTGGTGCCCTCAGAGGCCAGAAGTGTCAGATCCCCTGGATCCAGAGTTACACGAAGAAGGGAGACAATTGACACAGGTACTGAAAACTAAACTTGGGTCTTCTGTAGGAGCAGTATTTACTCTTAACTGCTACACTATGTCTTCTTTCCAGCCACCACCGCTTAACCATCCTGAAGGGGGGGGCAGTCTACCCCTGTTCCTGGGGTTACTTGAGGTCAGTCTCTGGTCAGCCAGGTAAAACATTCTGTTTGTTCCTGTGCTCCCTCTGCCCATCCTGGTGATTAGCAGTAGGGCATTGTTTACTCCATCTTGGGTGTGGCAATTTCCCACCTGCCTGGGGGGAATTCTTTATGCAGCAGCTAGGTATATAAGGATTTCCCCAAAGTTGAATAAACGGCATTCGGCTGATAGCCTTTTGAATGACCCAGGTCTCTTGTGTGTTCTTTCAATCTCCAGGCCCTTGCCCGGCTCAAGTACGGTACAGTGGTGCACAAACTGTACCGAGTGGGTAACACAGAATTGGGTGTTACATGTGTGTATGTGTGTGTGTATGGTGTGTGTGTGCTCTTGCCTGGAACTCGGGTCTTCATGTTGATAAGGCAAGCACTTTGCTGACTGAGCTATCTCTCCAGCCTGGGACTACACACCTAATAAATAATGATTGAGCCCTTGCGGACATGGAGGGACGAATGATCAGAAATAAGTACTTCCAACTTAGGAAGCTTTACTTAGGGCTGGTTTCTGCCAGAATCTAGTTGCTAGAAGATGAGGAAAGGGCAGTAACAGAAAACACAAACTTGGAAACTGCCATGAGGTTATGTTTTCCTGAACACCAGTCATTTCCTATGTGGCAACTACGGAAGCTCTGGACTTAGATACCAATCACCTTGTCACCTTCGTCCACGTACCCCGAGGACAGCAAATCAGGGAGGCTTTCCCCAGAGTGGGAGGCGAGTATTTAAGAAAAGGGTGTGCAGTGTGGCGCACTGCAGCTCCCAATGCCACCAGGACGAGTAAAGAGGTGTTGTAGCGGCAGGAAAGACGGAGGAGAGAAGAGGTTTTCTGTTTGTTTTGTTTTCGTTTTTTTGTTGTTGTTGTTGTTCATTTTTTTCTTTTGTTTTTGTTTGCTTGTTTTGCTCTGGTTTGATTTTTTAAAAATTTTCCTTTGGGGGGCACACTGCAGTGGGGAGGGGAGAATATGGAGGGACTGGGAGGTGAGCAGAATTAGGGTATATAAAATTTCCAAAGATTCAATTTAAAAATTATGTTAAAAAATCTGGTTCTTCTGGGCTGTCCAACAGGTTCTTTTCCTCTAAAGACCAGCCCCTTTTCCAGTCCCCTTTGCTTTAAAATGTTTCTAAATGACCATCTTCGAGCCTGAACTTCTGTGATCTCATCTTTTCCACTCAACATCCTCTAAACATAAGTTTTATTAAGGGAAACTGGATATTTAGACCAGAAATTAAGGGGATGTAATTTGTAACTCCTACAAACTAAACCAAGACAATTCGCTGAGGTTGGAAAAATAAAAGGTTAAGTTTGGTTTTTTTTCTGGAGTTTTGCTTTTCTGTTTTCGTTTCTGTATCATAAATGATCCTCTTTAGAATTAACCTAGTTCAAAACCCGGGGGAAAGGTAGTGATCAGTGTATAATGTGGGGCAAGTGTTGGATAAATGCATAGCAGGAAATAAAAGATGAAGAAGTGATACATCGCTACCCCAGCTCCGTATCTGCAGGCCTCGACACCTGAAACACGGCAGCACGGAGTCTCAGACACACTGTTTGCTTTGTTTTTTTCTTATGTGTAATTTTGATGATAAGTTTGATATAAACTAGTCCCAACGAGAAATGAACAATAATGGAAAATAAAATAGAATGATTATAACATTGTGTTATAATAAAAGTTAGGCACATGTGCTTATTTTTTTAGTTTCTCAAAGCATCTTACTATACTACATTATAGTACAGTTGACTGGATCCCAGGACTAAACCGGGATTAGGGGGGGAGACTACCATTCTCCTTCAGTAAATCACACTGGATGAGGAACAAAGTTGCAGGATTAATAGCTCATCAATGGGCGACTTTGACATAGGTGCAAATCAAGTCAGAAAACTTGAAAGCAGATGTTCTAGTTTCCCACAATTATTCCTCTGACTGACGTTCTGCTTTATATGTTACTCTGAATTGGACCAAGGAACTTTTATCCTACAACCAAGTATTTTATGTTTCAAAGAATTCATAGCCCAGAGCCCTGTACTGTGTAACAATGGAATCTATCTAAAAAGTACAAAGTTTTGGAGATAAATTGTTAGTTGAATTCAGTTGTTCACTAGTTGATAATCTTGGGGGAGTTATCAGCTACCTTACCTTTGTTTTAATGTTTACAGGTGTAAAATGCATTTATAATACATTGTTGCAAAAATTGTTGTGTGGACCACAGAATGAGATCAGTGAATAAGTATTCAAAATCTTATCCAGAACATTACTGGCTGTGTGGCCCTGGGAAGCATGCAAAACTTGTCTGTACGTTCATTTCCTCCTCTGCAGACTGAGGTTCATTAAGAGCAAGGATGCATTAAGGGAGGTTGCTTAACGGAGCTCTTGGCACAAAGTAATCACCTACTAAGAGCTTGCCTTAGAATACTTACCTTGGAATCCCAGTTCTAATTTGGAAGCCTAAGCCCGAAGTATTTGAATTAACTAAACACACTCATTTCGCCAGCCCGGAGTCGGTTAACTGACCTTTCGTGGGTGGTAAAAGAAGATCTCAGAAGCTGTCAGAGTACAGCAGTGCAAAATTTACAGGAAAATGTTTTCATTTTTACCCTTAGGCTTTTTCAGACCAAGGATGTAAGAACAGGTGGATGAAGATTCCCTCGTGTTTGTTTGCTTTAAGCAGAGGTATGACGTCAGAAAGAACCTATCCTAGTATGGGCCCTGGCTTTCCTATTCTCTTTCCTAACTAGTATTCCAACTAGTCAGTTCACACAGCAAGGTCACACCAGGCCACATCAGGCCCAGTATGCAGCCGAGGTGCTTCCCAGTGGGGAGATCACAGCCTGTGTGCCAACACAAGCTGTAAACCAGGCCTTGGGTACCACGGTGTGGCAAAGCTAGGTATTGCAGAGAGCTCTGACATCCTGGAACTTTCGGGGAAGAAAGGGATACTGAATGTGACCTGTGTCTCGGGACTCTGCTGGGGAAGGATCATAGATTCCATTCATGGAATCCAGTGCTATCTGTGCACGTTCTCCTTGAAGGAAATCCCCCAAAGATGAAGTTTGTCATCACAGAAGCCAGGAAGGATGGTGACTGCTGTAGCTCAACACGGGAGAATGTTGCTATAGAAACCATTTGGTTAAATGAGTCTGTTGTTCGTACCTTATAAAAATGAATGTCTAGTCACATTTCCATTTTTGCATAATTTTATCTAACAAAACAGCGGTGAGATATAGGAACATGTCAATGTCAGACAGAATTCAAATTCCATATTTAATTAATAAAAACATTGAATTCAACTTTTATACAGATTTTTCGAGTAAGTTTATCCATCCTAAAAGCTATCATCATAGCTTGTTTGAAATGGAGATTAAGTTGAAAGAAAAGAGGTGACCATTTGGTGTTCCAAAAGGATTTGATAAGGGAGTCTCTGAACTTCACAATCTTCAGTACACCAGCTGATTGTTCTATTACTTGTTCCTTATACAGCCATATAATTATTGCAGAGAATGTGGGATTTCTGTTTATGCACCAAAGAAGCATTTTATCTTTAAAACAGATAGAGTGCTATAGCTAAAACAAAGGTTCATCTCAGTCATGATGTCCTTCACCAACAAAGGAATTCAATCTCTCTTGTTTAGTTTTTGATAATTTTATTATTATTATTATTTTGAGACAGGGTTTCTATGTGTAGCCTTGACTGTCCTGGAACTCGCTCTGTAGATCAGGCTGGCCTTGAACTCACAGAGATCCACCTGCCTCTGCCTCTTGAGTGATACCACCACCCGCTGCTTTTCTTATTTTTAAAAGTAAGAAATACCCTTACTAAAAGTTTAACTTGTTGTTCAATAGTTCTCAGTAATCCCATCTTAAAGTGGTTACTGCAGGAGTTTGGGATACATGAATTTCTAATTGGGGCATACATTTATTCCTTTGCAAAAATGAGATGTGTCGTACTCACGGTATGAGATAGTGCATGGTTTAAAATTCTTGCTTATCATCTAAACGCTTATACACTATTCGATTCGGAAGCATAGATAACTCCTAATCTATTTTGCCATTGGTGGCTGGAACAGAGTGGCAGTGACCGTGGCGCTTACCTTCCACAGTGCTAGTATCAGCAGCATCAGCAGCAGTAGCCCAGCAAAGGCGCTCAGGAGGATGACCCACAGCGGCACTTGGCCCGGGAGCCCATCTTTGGATATTTGAATAGCCAGCTGAAAACGATTAAACCAGGCAGTTAACACTGATAAACACCCGCTTTGGACTCCTGGAGTCCGGAGTTCTTGCAGTCTATACTTTTTTCTACGAAACACTGTAATTAATCTCATGACTGTATAGAAAATAAAACAATGGGTTTACATTTGAAAATGCCTTTCATTTACTTAAAACGTCCAATAATATCAAATTTATTATCGCCCCCAAAGGAGAGCCCTTCAAAATAGAATCTTACAGTCTTTACAGTCCGGCTCACCCAGATGGGACATCTAAAATTTCCCAGGACAGTATGAGAAAATCATGCCGTTGTCTAAACCAAGGTCTTTTGCTTTAAAAAGTCAAGAGTGAAATACTTTTATTTATTTATTTATTTTTTACTTTCTGCTTGAAAGGCCTCACTTTTGTTCAGGATTTTCCAATGACTAAGGGAAAAAGTTTTAAAACCTTATATACATCTACTTATACACACACACACACACACACACACACACACACACACACACACAAATATACACAATATACAGGAATTTTCTGTAAATAGATTTAAGGTAGCCTGCATTGTATAATGTGAGACCTGAAGGGGAAAACGTACAAGCATCCCCTTTGTCACGAATGCGAAATTAGAGACATCCAGTTACTGCCAGAGGGAAAGAAAACACGGCCGGTGAGCTGTGAGCATCACCTTGTCCTAGCTTCGGAGGGGTAACAAGCCTGAGATCCCATTAGAAGCCAATGCAAAGGAAATCAGATTGTCCGACAGGAGCATCAAATCAGTCACTGCTTTAGTCCTTGTGTGCAAACACAAAACGCCACGGGCAGGTTTGGAGTGTAATGTGTATTATTTCTAGGAGTGCAGCCGCACCTACCCCCTCACTTCTGGTTGCCAGAACAACACGAACAGTCTGGAGGGAGAGGCAGAAAGCTTTCCACGCAGCCTCACTTACCTCTCGCTTCTGGTTGCTGCTGCTTAAAATCAGCGATGTGTTTTGACTCTGAAGTTCTCCCTTTACAGTGAGATTTAAGCTGGAAAAATGTGTCTGAAAGGCAGGTCGGAGTCATTATTAATGGACCGTGCTAACCAAGGTGAGAGATAGTCATATGTGAGCAACCTTCCCACGTGCTGCAGTTCACCCATGCAAGGTCCGGCAAGATCAAGGCAACTAAAGATCTGGTGTGGACTGGGGAAGCCGCTTCCTAGCTCCCATCTCTAGCAGAGGAACTGTTGATAGCTACCAGGGGAAGGAAAGTCGCTTTTCTATTCTTTTTAAAAAATATGTCTTAAATTAAAAATATACTTAAATCACTCCCTCCCTCCCGTAAATCCCTACTCCTTTTCCAGTCATTATCTTGTTCATTATTATTGTTACCTATGAGTAAATGGGAAACACAGTCTGCGAAATCTATTTAGTGTTGCTACAAGCGTAGCCCTTGGTGGGTTCCCCAAGTCCCAGTGGATCGACCTCACATCCATGCATACTGGCAGCACTAATTACAATTGGTGGGTTAAAAATAAATAAAAAGTTGTGTAAGGAAGATAGGATGATGGGGGTGCTTCTGGGAAAAGTTGGAAGGAGGAGTGAGGTGTAGATAGGATCCAAATACATTGTGTACTTTTGAAAAAGAAAATAGGAAAAAACTGAGATTGTTCAGTGAGATTAAAACAATGATGCCTGGGGCACCTCCTCCTTTCTTCCCCACCCCCCCCCCCACCAAACTGCCCCTTAGATTCTTCTCATAGAAAGTGAACAGAAACTTCAAAATGATTTCTAGCCAGATTTTTCTCTAGAAAAACAAACATCAAACTTCGCTTGCCTCTCATGCCTCTAGGCTTGGGACAGCTACATCCACACTCCAATAGTGTGGATTACGTGTTCACACTTATTAAGGATTGCGCATGAAATTAGCAATATTAAAACATCACAACTTGCCAAAATATCATCTTAATAGGACTAAACCTAAAATTCTTAGTTTTATATGATTGACTACATATTTCTTTAAAGAGAAACAAAAACTGCAAAATGCAATAAACTGTGCTTTAAAACAGCCTGCATTCAAATGGATGTGGCTTTCTGGGGGATAATGGATATACTCGCATAGAAATTTCAAAAATAAATCACTATTCTATAATGTATTCAAGTTCTCTCTTTTGTTAATGATAGCAAAGTATGCTACTCCATTACTTTTTGAATCTCAACGAGGTCCCAAAATTATTAAAATAAGCATAAACTCTAGTCTCAGCGAAGCAGTTCTCTCAGGAGAGAGCCCTAGGACACTGCATCTGGCAGGGGACTCTGGTAGCAATTTTATTATTGACAGATGGGGAAGATGAGCCCCGCATAGCTAACTGGTCATAGGTGCATTTTCAGAGCCCCCCCCCAGTCTCATGTTCTTTCCACAGCAATGCTGTGACTTGCACACACATACTAATAGTGAGCTAATACTTAATGATCGGAAACTGGCAAGTACAATGTGACCACTTACCTTTATGAACGTTGGCTTCCACAGGATGAGCGATACGTTCACTTGACTCACGTCGGAAGGGATGAGATGGCACGTGATGGTGGCAAGCTTGCAGGTGCTGCAATCCTGTTTGATGGTCAGAGATACGTATCAGGGGGCTTGCAATCCCATCCCAGGTTCTACATTTACATGCTTCAGTTAGCTATTGACTTCTCAGCCGACAAAGGATGTACTGCGCTTGGAGAGCATAACATAAAAATAGAATTTCATTTACCTGGATTGTGCCTCTTTTGAGATCTTCCGACTTTGATATTGCCATTTTCTTCCCAGAGTTGATACCAAAAGGATCCTCAAGGCTCCGGGGTTTGCAGTTCACATTCTACAGAAGGAAATTTTTTCCCCATTAGAAAGTGGCAAAGTCCAAGGAAAAAAATAGGAATCTATGAATAACAGTCATTGATAAACATGGAAGATCCATTTGTGAGTGTGCAGGATAGAGAGGCTGCAAGGTATCCACGATGTGTTCCCACTCCGGGTGATCATCATTGTTTCTGTGACCCTCGCAATTGTAACAGATGAAAAAGGTTGCTAGTAGAATTCTCTATCTCACGAGTAACATAATTATCATTATTGCTCAAAGAGCAGCTGATAAATTCCAATTTTGTATGGATATACATACACACATATATAAATTCCCATGATATATATTAAAGTATACACACACATTCTCTCTCCTCTCTCTCTCTCTCTCTCTCACTCTCTCTCTCCCTCCCTCCCTGTTGAAAAAGAAAGTGTGTTAGCATATTGCTATGGCTCAAGTTGATGCCTCTTTGTTGGACTAAGGGAAATTCCAGGGAATTTTTTCCTTGCCCTTAGCAAAATAGTTAAATGATTGCAACGTAAATACTGCAGTTGCCATGTTTTGTTTTTCTTTGTTTTTAATTCTGAGAAGGATTTAGCTTTTCAAAACCACATGAAAAGACGAGATAATGTTAAATGTTGAATTCATACATATACTAGCTCAATAATTACTGTTGCTGTCTGTGTTTTATGCATAAACAGAGAATAATAATATTAATAATAATGAATATCATATAATAGTAATATTTTAAAAACAGCACTAAGTCTATTTAGTGCTACAAGCTCAATGGGGTTGCAGTGGTGGAGTTGGTTGGGAAGTGAATAGTAACCTACTTTTTTGTGAACAGCTATGCATGTTTAGAAAAAATAAGCCTTCTTTATTGAATTGAATCCCTCAAATAAAGTGCAACAAAAATTCCATGTATCCATCAACAATTAATTACCTAAGATCTACAGGATTATACCATGATTCCAAAAGGGCATGAATAGCCAAGTCTTAACAGTCTGAACCTGTAAACATGACCTCATTTGCAAACTGAGTCCTTACAGACATAATTAAATTGAGGTTCTGCGCTTAAGAACATCTTGTATTTCAGGAAACCCCAAATTGAATGGTGAGTGTACAGGAAAACACTGAGGCAAGAAGCGAACCCAGAATCCCAGGGGGAATGGAGCCAAGGAATACGGAGAGTTCCCAGCGACCCTAAATGCTGGGAGGGAAGGCATGGTCTAGAGGGAATCTCCATTATCCAAACTGCTGACCCTCAACACCACTAAATAATTAACTCTCGTGTTTAATTACTCATTTTTCTATAGTTTGTTTCAGGAACCCTTGATACTGAACTTACACATTCTAAGTAGTTGATGGATTTATCAATTTTTAACAGCTTCTCCATTTGTTTTAGACTAACCTTACTTATCATGAATATCATACAAAGCAGGAGGTGAGGAAGGTAACAGTGGGTTGGAGAGACGTCTTAGCAGGTGAAAAGTGCTCGCTGCTAGCCCCATGACGCCAAGTTCTGTCCCAAGGCCTCTGGCGAAAGGCACTTGCTGCCAAACCTGGTGCCCTGAGTCATCCAGCTGCAGGGCCCATCATGTAGAAGGAGAGAACTGACTACAGCAAATGACCCTCTGACTTCCCCTGTGGCACAGACATGCCACCTCCCCAATACAAAATAAGTAAGTAACTGTGATTTTTGAAGAAGAAGGTAACAGAATTGACACCCTTGAAAAAGCACACAGGACTTACATCTGAAGATGACCATCCAGTTGGGTATAATACAGGATAACCATCTGATGTCAAGTTGGGGAATGAGATTGATAGCTGAAGTTCCGGCATTGGGAAATGGCCCCTTTTTCTGATCTATGGGAGAAGAATAGAAGAATAGACATACAATCATCTTTGACTCTTTCAAAAGCATCCTCTCCATGTTATGTAGAACTCTGGTTCTTTTATCCTCTTTCATGCATATGTGCGTGCAGTATATGTGCACTTGTATCTGTGTGTTCACATTGATGTGGACACGTGCATACGTGAACATACACCATATTTGCGTGGGTGTGTATGTGGAGAGGCCTGAGGTTGGTATCAGGAAATTTCCTCCATAGCTATTTAGACTTTTTCTTTGAGACAGCATTTCTCAATCAAACCCATAACTGCCCAATACACCTAGCATCCCTAGCTAGCTTGCTCTGAAGATCTCCTGCCTCTGCCTGTCTCAGCAGGCTTGCTGCAAATACAATCAAGCCATCGTACCCATCCAGAACATATGTGGGATCCAGGAATCCGAACTCCAGTTGTTTTGCTTGAGAAGTACATTAACCCATTGGGCCATCACCCCAGCCATTATCACCCCAGGACTGACCGACTGTATCTCTCACTTTTTAGGCCAGGACTTCCACTTCTGGGTTCTGGGATAAAAGATAATTTTGGTTCTTGTTTTGTATTGTTTGTTTGTTCGGGAGACAGGGTTTCTCTATGTAGTCCTGGCTGTCCTGGAACTCACTCTGTAGACCAGGCTGGCCTCCAACTTAGAGATCCTCCGGCCTTTGCCCCCTAAGTGTGTGCGCTGTCACTGCCCAGGAACTTTGGTTCTTAATTGATGTTAGTTATATAAAATTCTGAGTCATACACATCAAAGTGGCTCATGATCTTATGTGGGAATTGACCTGATTAATCCAGCAAGAAAGTGTGAATGCCCATCAATGGTCATGTGTGGTTGCTATTATTATATTGTTTATTCATCCTTTAATCCAGGATAATAGTAGGATTACTAATACCATGCATGTGGATAACACTAGGGTTAGGCTGTCAGTTTGGACACATCAATAATAAACTCCGTCACCAATACTGTGTTGGTGTTGAACTAAGAAATCAAAGCATTTCCCTTTGTGTCATTTAAGCTGGAGTGAGCCAAATTTGAAATCTCTAATTTGCCCTCCCTGTGTTTCCCATCATTCCTGTCTTCATAAGTCTGGATCTACGCTGTTTGAAAACTGTTTGTTGGCTCCATGTCTGTGTCCCTGATATCTGTCCCTAATAAAGGGTTGCTCTTCCACTTATTGAGCCTCATCACGGAAAGCATCACATAAAGAAGAATTGTCAGACACTTTACTGAAATCTTCAACAGGGTTTTACAGGTTATTGTCTCCAACCAACGCCAAATGTCCTAAATATCAAATAAACAGCAAACACTACCATGTGATATCTGAAAGTTGCTTTTAGAATTAATTTTATAAATCACTTCCAGCCTATTTACAGTTTCCAGTAAATGATTATCATAATACACATGCAAACATACATTATGCAGAATCAGGAGCATGAAAGAATCTATAACTTAACATTATAATACATTACTTGCTGTTTATATAAGAAATTCGAGGCAGGTAAGGTTGATTATTACATTGTTCTCTTACAGGCAGGTTAAACAAACAGGTCAAATACACAGTAGGAGAGCAGTCTTAAGTGTTAAGTAACTTTGAATCAGGCTTTAACTCAGGCTGAGCTGGGCAGTAAAAGTATTAGTGGGAAATCAGTATTGAAAAATATCTTTGTTATTAGTATATTATTATAATTATTATTATTATTATTCTCTAGCCATGTCCACTCTCATTTCTAGTGTGTGTAAGTCTGTGTCTCTGTGTGTGTGTGTTTATTGTGCACACAAACATGTGGATCTGCTTATCCATGTGACCATGGGAGGTCAGGTGTCATCCTCTACCACACTGTGCCTTATTTCTGTGAGACGTGGTCTTTCGCCGTTCCAGAGCTCACCATTTAGGCTAGTCTGGCTGGTGACTCTCCTCTATCCAAGGTTTTTGCAGGTGGAGATCACTTACTTGATCCACAGAAGAAAAACTTAGCATGTTTCGGATAGCTTTAGCCAAGTTAATTACAATGCCCTAAACCCGTAAGTCATCTCTCACCTCAGTTCGATGGGACCTGCCATCACTGCTCAGGTAAGGCAGACACCCACTGGCTTAGTTCCACAACTGTTCTACAAGCTGTGGATACCATCTCACTGGTTATTGATAATCCTGTCTGATAAGCATGTTGACTTCCATCTTAGTTTCTATGTGTTTTGATCCACTAACTTAGAATCCCCACTTAATGTCCCTGAGTTGGGACCAGTGTGCCCCCTGGCTACCATACAAGTATGGTGTCCAGGTTTTACACATTCTTAATGGCTTCTCTGGGCAATTTATTGAGCCGTATGAAAGACCACTTTGATCTTTACCTAAAGATGCCAGGACTGCCTAGCTAGTAAAGCAGCCTATATTGAGAGCTGCTCAGATCTGCAGTGATTCCCCATAGCTGCTGAACATTGAATCATTCATCAACCTTGGAACTGTGGAGATTCCTGAAACTATGTTCAGCCTCGTATTTGAACAAGGTCTGCAACCATCTTAGGGTAATACACCTGGGGCTTGCCTGGCACAGCCTTTGCATTGAATGCTATCTGCTTCTGAAATTCACTCAGGAATCATATATCCTGATATTATTTCTTTCTTACTAAGAAGTATTCCTTCTTAAAAAAAAAAACACTGGAAAACACTGAAAATAAGCAGAAAACAAATTTCCTGCAATCCAACCACCTTAGCAGAATTTTGCTGGATAAAATTATTTGTCTTTATTATTTGTACAAATAATATAAAATTTACACCTCACATACACAGAAACAAAACTTTGTTTATTAAATCTGTTAACGTTATGTTGCCCAAAAACATAACGGTTACTTGAAAATATGGCTACTGATAGCTAAATAGCAATTACAGTATTATCTACAACATGTGTTACCTATGTGAAACTCGCCGTGTTAATCATCTGGCTTGCAGTACTGCCTTAACTCTTAACTCTAGACTTGGATCCCTTATCACTGTTTTATCTCTGAGCAGCAATGTGGAAGCATTAAAAAGAATGTTACAAGCACGGGAAACTGATAAGTAGCAATTGCCGTTAAAATATTATGACATATTGTCTTCCTACAGAATATATAGCAATGTCTTCACCAAATGAATGACAGTTAAGCAACTTCATAGTGTTGAGTTAAAAATTTAAGCCTTTTATAAGAGCGCTGCTAAAATTTTTAATCATTAATAATTTCTTAGGGACAATTACCAGTAGTAAGTCACTAGATCTCACCTAAACACGTTATTTTATTTTTATTCCATTACTTTTATTCTAGATGGTAAAGCGCAAAATAACCAGAGGTACAAAATATTATTTCTGTTATTATTGCTTGTAACATGGTCCTAATAAGTTACAATGAATGAAGATCTACAATGGTCAAGTTTTTCCCTTTCTTTTTGTTTGTATCCTATAGAAGCCTAATATTCTGAATTATACAATCATATCCCAGAATTGGGCAAGAGATTGCATTCATACCAATTTCCAGAATGTAGTGTATCATAATTTTAGCAGTGACCACAAGTTCCTCTCAAGAGGAATTTATTTCTCTTGAGAATATGGGAAACTTATTCCCATCTTGGAAGAGAACTTAATCCTTCATAGCTGACGATTCCCCAAAAGGTTAAGACTGGCTTCATTTATAATGGTGTTTTATCGCTTGATGAGGGCATAGGTACATAAATCATTCATTTCAATTGAATGCTCCTTTCTCCCTGAGTACTACTGAGTTTGTAAGTGTTGCCCAGCCTAAAACTCCTTGACAGCCTTTTATAGAGCTTACTAAAGTTTGAAGCAAAGAATTTAAAATGAAAAAAATTAGTGTAGTAGAACCTATCATTGAGGGAGACTGTAGTGTACATATTGGTAATTTACAGTGAAATTCATGTGAACGAGAGCAATAGACAGAAAAGTGACAATGACACATTGAAAAAAGAAAAATATTCCCACAAGAATTTTAAATAATTCATTTCTGAGATTGTCATGAGTCTGTGAAACATGATTTTCTTAGTCATACCAAAGCTAATATAAAGTATATACATCTTGCGGTTGTAGCATCTGTCTGACAAAAGAGCGACTTCTCTTCGAGAGAGTTATTCTAAGTTATTATGTCTTACTATAAGGAAGTTAGAGACTTTGGCTTTTAAATTTGACTCAAGATATAATTACCAGTTTGCACTTAATCTTAGCCGGAAGGCCAAGAGTGATATAATTATCAATTTGGACAAAATGGCATAACATAGTTAAATTACAAAGAAAAATATTCTAGGATGTGGAGATTAAATATGGAAACACTTCCTTATTTCCTTAATAGAAATAATCTATTTAGCATATTGACTTAGAGACAGCTTCTTACCACGTAGAAGACATTAATTTCATTTCCAATGTCACCAGTGGAATTAATAAGTTCAGGGAGAGTCTCATTGGCTGCAATCGAGATGTGGTGTTCACTCGCAGAACTTAAAAGAATTAATGGGGAAAATAAGATAAAATACAGCAATGTTTAAGTTTATTCGGCTTCATTCTTTTCTTAGTCTGTATCACAAGATCTCATAAAAATATTTGTGGAATTCAAAACAGAGAGATTCTTTTACCCCCACCAAACCTCAATTAAATATTCGAGAATGCTAACAGTCACCAAATTCAATAGGTATTGTTGCTTACTTGACTCCAATATTTTAAATTATATGTAACTTTCAAAATAGAATTTTACTGGTATCAAATGAAGAATCCCCATGAATCTACTAACATTTGCCCTAGGGGGAAAAAAACAGACTAAAATTTGATATATTTAGCCATGCTGAAAGTGAAGAAACTAGTTTTTTTTTTTAAAAAAAAAAAAGAATGTTTACATTTATGCAATTTAAAATTCCTGTTACTGAGAGATGGGAAAGCTCAATCTCCCTATGAAGGTCATGGTCTTTGGATGACCCTCGTAGAACTTAAGACTATTCCTCAAAGCAGCACTTCAGCCAAGAGAAGACAAAAGATATTTACAAATGTCTGCCAAAACTCGATTTGAATGAAGTGGAAAGCTGTTGGGAAAATCTTTGTGCTGACAGAAGCATATGCAGCAAATCAGACAAAAGACAACAGACTTCAAAGACTAAGATATGCAAGCCTCTGCGCCTAGCCTATAACCCTTGCTCTCTGATCTCTCTTAAAGAGAAAGTGCCACGAGAAACAAACAAAATGGTTGGCTGGTAGACTCGGCTGACCTTGACTCTGGCTCTCATTTTTTTCTATACCCATTGCACACATTTATTTAAAAGATCTTGGAATTCTGCTTCAGTAAGGGACGTCATAAGCAAGGGGCTCTGTGGAGCGGGCATTCATTAACATGATTGGAACTTGAAAAGAAAAATAAGGTCTGAACGGAAAGAGTGGTTACCCAGTAGTGGAAGGAAGAAGCGGCTGATCAATGATAAGTGCTTCTACCTTGTGCAACAGAATGGGCAGGTAGATCCCGTCCCGCAGGATGAGAACAGAGACCCAGAAATGTGCTGCTGACCTGTGACAAAACGCTGTATTTTGTCAAGGACTCTGGCTTCTGTTTATGAGCAAAGACCTGTCATTAGCACATTTTATGTTGATGTTTAGTGCACACAGGTTCTCAAAGGTACAGATGCGTGTGGATTTTATGGAAGCAATGAACACGGTTGCCAGGCACCACACCAGAATTGTGTACTCGGCAGGTCTGGAAGACACTGGAGTACCTGCCACTTTAAGTTCTTGAATGGTGATGTTCTCAGCCAGGGACTGCACTAGGAAAGCCGTTTGGTGGCCAAAAAGCTATCAATGAATAAGAGTGGTTTCTCCTACCTGTGAAACTGTAGTCCGACTTCATATTTTACTGGGATGGATATATTTACTTCATTATCATAAAGAGATTCGGGTGGTTCTTCGCTGTCACTGGAAAACACAGCACATTCACATTAGACATTAAATCTGTTTAGTCACAGACCAGCTCTAAGCATTTGAAAGAGAAGATCCTATAGGAAAACTAATAAAATACAAAATCGTAGAATTCTTCATTTGTTTTTATTGAGGAAAGTTAGAGTGGAGATAGGTATCATTATTATTATTAACACTTCCAAGATGATTCTACTGTGGAGTTAAGAGTTGAAAAACCACAGTGATTCTGATCCATGTTTAGAAAATTGTGTGAAATAATTAGAATCTACAGGCTTATTATTAAAATATTGAGATTGCTGGAGTTCTGCGGCATAAAGACTTGGACACAAATCACCTTAGTTTGAATTTATCACACATGAAGAACTTGTACAAAGACTCAGCTAGGCTCATATAGCTAACTGTGGATCTAAAATCTTTTTCTTTCATAGTTTTTCCAAATAGAGCAGTCAGTATGCATACTATTTCAATTTTTATGTATTTCCTTGATTTGAGGTGTAATTTTCATAATATTTGAAATTTTAATTATGTTTTACACTCATATACATCATATTCAAATATACCTCATACTCATGAACAGAGCATGGAGGAGAGATGTAATTTTGGGACCAGATAAAGGGAATGGGCTTGTTCTTGAACACTGGTACTTTTTCATTGTTACTTAATTTCTCTCTGCCCTAGTTTTTCATCTACAAAACAGACAATTTAGCACTTAATTTTCGACAGTGGATGTCAAATAGATGCTGAGCTAAACTGAATTGAATAGAATGAGTTAATTTATCCATTAATTTATTTTATTACTTGTTAATTCATTTTCCATCTGTGGAATAATGACTAAATGCAGGGGCCATGCGGGTTGCTACAACAAAGTCACTTGACATCACAGAACATATTCTGGTGGAAAACTACATTCAGTAGAAAGTTAAAACTTATTTTAAGTTCTGTATTAGTCTTTTATTGCTTTTTTCTTTAAAGGAAATGTAAGTAGTATATTCTTTTTTTTCTTTTTAACCAGGCTGAATTCAACTTAGCAATAAAACAAAATCCAAAAACAAACTCCATAAATTCTTCATTCAAGGTGACATCTTTTTCTTTTTTTTTAATTTATTTTTTCCTCTTTTCGCAAACAGACTAGCTTTCCCACATACTGTGTCCTGGTTATGGTTCCTTCCCCTGCACTCCTGCCCGTTCTCCCCGACCTCCCGTCTTGTCTGGACCCATTCCGTTTTTGTCTATCCTTATAAATCAAAGTTCTCTAAGGCATAATAATAAGATAAAATACAAAATAAAAATCAGCACATCAGAGTTGGACCAAACAAACAAGGAAGGAAAAGAGCCCAAGAGAAGGCACAGGAAGCAGAGCCTCACTCCTGTGCGCCCTCAGGAATCTCGGAAAAAAATACTAAACTGGAAGCCATCCTATGCACACTGAGGCCCTGGCACAGACCCATGCAGGCCCTGTGCATGCTGCCTTCTGTCTCACTCTGTGACTCCACATGAGCTTTGCTCCTGTTGATTTAGAGGGCCTTCTTTTCTTGCATGTGTTCTATGATAATACTGAGAAGCCTTGAACAATTTGCATAAAATTTATTGAAGTATGAAAGCAATCAGTTAAATTTTAAGTCAGTGTGATGACTTAGTTGACTTTGATAGACAGCTAGCAAATATTTTAAAATTAGTAGTTCCTGTTGATCGTAAATGCAGTTTGGCAGATATAAGTGATGTGTAATTACAAGAGAGTCTACAGTTAATATTACCAATGATCTAGTCCAATAGGTTAAATTATTTGAGTATGAATTCCCCTTCTGTTGCTAATTACTCCCAAGGTATTTTTTTTTTTTTGGTGAGGCAAAGTGGTTCATGGGCTGTTACTTCTGCTGATCTCATACCAGCTTCAAGAAGCTGCCCGTGATTCTATAAAATAAAATAATCCAATTACACGAAAGTAATGAGATGCACACATACATATATGTTCACACACACACAAACTAACCTTGTTGCACTCAAATGAATGACTGCATTTTCTGTGAGATGTGATGTATTAAACTGGAATATTATTTTGAAGGTTACCTATGAAATTAAAATAGACATCTTAAAATACAGATCAGAAAAACATCAACTTGGATTTTTCCATAGTTTATATAAATTCACTCTAAATAGAAATCATAAAATTACTTAAGAAACATTACCTTACAAAATACAACCACATCATAAATGCATACACTCAAGTACAATATACACGTGTACTTCTAAATGTGAGTATGTAATATGCTTTGCATATTGATGTAGTCTGAATGCTAACACAGACAAGAATTATGGGCTGATATAAGATATAAGAATTAATTAATAAGAAGCCTTAGCTATTGGGCCAATCATTTTATGATTAATGTAGACCTTGGTGTATTTATTTGGGACTAAATGACTGCAGGACTGGGTACTCAGTAGGACAGAAAACTCTGTTGACAAGTCCCAGATGGCATGGGGCTGTGAGGTTAGCATAGCTGTATCATAGTATATATTGAATTTTCTTCCCTCCCATATATAATATAAATTTACATTTCAAAAGAAGAAAGTGAGTTCTTTTAAAGAAGAGGACTTCTCTCTTGCCTTGGAGTACTGATCTCCATTCTAGTAAAGGGACCTTTATTGGATGGTTCTTCCCTGCCTCTCTTTAACATCCACACCTAGCCCAGGCTTTTGAGTCTTTTATTCTTCATGGCAGAGATGCAGGCCTGAGCAAAATACTTGCTTTATATCCACATGATCCCGAAATACTTAGATGAAAGTCTGTATCTTGAACTCAAGAATATTCTAAGCATGAAACCCAAGTTGAAATGCTTGCAAGTTTCTCCCATCACCCTTTGTAGAACCTAAGAGAATATTTCGATTTAAGCCTTTATCACAAGCTCAAGGAACTGCTGGATAGGGGAAGAAATATTTAAGTTTCATGCCTTCCTCGAATGGTGCAGGGAAACTGGCTACTCAGATGCCAAATGTCGGGCTCCCTCAGTGCACATCACCTAGTTCTTTCTCATGGATTACAGACCTAAGTGTAAGCAAAAATCATCTAATTCTTGGGAAAAACACTAAGTGGTAAGAGACTTGGATGTTGACTCTTTGAAAAACACCCGCAATGTAATAGCACAAAAGACAGCCTAATTGAAAAACAGAGGCAGAATGGGACATGGTGGCTTATGCCTGCAATCCTAGCACTTAGGAGGCAGAGGCAGGAGGACTGCTGAGAGTTCATGATATCCTGGGCTATACTACAAGCTTAGGACTAGCCTGGGCTCCAATGTGAGACCCTGTCTCAATAAAAATGTATGGTTGCAGGTATTTTTCCAAAGACAGCGGGTGTACACGTGTGTGCATCATGTATGCATGTGTGTGTGTTTATGTATGTATGTGTGTGATGAAAAGTTACTCAAAATGTCATCACGTGCTGCTAGGGTAATGTAAATCTAAGTTACAGTAAAACATTGCTTCATATTCACCGGAACAATCATCATCATCATCATCACCATCATGGAAAATTAGAGCTCTCATTCCCTACTGGCAGGAACGTACAATGGTGCATCTGTTTATCTATTATTGATTTAGCCTTTGTAGTTGAATGTAACTTATTAAATGTTTAGCATTTGATTATGTCTTAGTGTTCCTGAGCTTCTTTAATGATATAATTTGACTGTTAATTTATGTAATTCATAAGCACTGGGGGTTTCCTTCTCATCACTCTAGAGTCTGGGAATTCCAAGACGAAAGCACTAGAAGGCTGGGGTGTAATGGCGGCCTGCTCCGGAGACACTGTATGTCATGTGATGAGACAAACACATCTCTTAAGCCTCTGGTGAAGCCACAGTCCCCTTATAAGGTACCACTTCCTACTTCTGTCACACTGGAGGTTAAATTTCAGGGTACGGAATTTACCGAGACACGGGGATCATACTCTAAAAGATATCAGGCCACAAGCATTTTTCACCCCAAGTGTCTAGCCTGTATCATCACAATTCAACCATTATAAGGATGTACACGTTTGTCTTTGAGCATATCACTACTGACTGGCAATGGTTACTTTTGTTTGACCCGGGATTCTCACCGTTTCTCCTGTCTTCAGGAAAGGATAGCCCACTCTGCATGTGATATTTCGATTGGACTCACAACTATCCTTTTGGATCCCCTAAAATGGAAGATAAATAGATGTAGAGAAAAAATGCACAGGGAATATTTATATTAATCATTTTAGAATTTTCCCAGCTATGTGTTAGCAACTGCCTTGCCCGATTTGTCTCTCGGTTTCGCTGGGAGAGTCGCAGCACCAAGGATTGCCTGTTCCAGAGTTCACGGACATCTGAAATCATCACTTGGGGGCTCCTGAGGGGCAAAGCACACCTTTGTCTGGCATGAGTAGTCAGGGTAACTGAGCCTCAACAGCACCAATGGACAGGAAACTGCAGGGGTGGGTGTTTTGCCCATACATCTCACTGGCGGATGCACAGGTAGGTGCAGGAGTATGGAGCCCTGAACAAGAACTGGATTCTAACTACAACCACCAGGACTCACCTCCTGACTCCATCCAGCACATAATACACATAATAAAAGAAAGAGTGGCCTTAATACACGGTCAAGGACCTCCTTACATTAACAACTATGAACTGTAGGTGTTCTTCCTGCCTCTCTGCCATGGCCAGAGACATTCACTGTGAATATTCCTGCCACTTTGCCATGGACAGAGACATTCACTATGCGTTTTCCTGCCCGTCTGCTATGATCAGAAAGCCAGTTGGAAAGAATACATTTTAACATAGCTCCCTTTCCAGAGAAAGTCCAGCAACAACAGACATCTCTCTACATTACATTCACATGTTGCATTTCTGCAATTATTTTATATTCATAATTAATGTACTAAAAACAAAATAATATTGTAACAAATGATCCCTATATCTTAGTTACTACATCCCCAAATGATATCAGAGCAAATGGGGTGAAAAGAGAGTAACAATTAAAATTGATGGGAACTAGACAGCAATGTTTTAATCTACACATTAATGTGTGTGTATTATCGTTCTGGAGAGTAAACCCAGAGTCTCATGCATACTGAGCAAGTTCTCCATTATTTAACTCATTCTTAGACCTAAAGGTATTGGTTTTTAATATAAATAAAAAGATTCACATTAGCATTATTATTTTAATGTGAATCAAAGTACTTTGAAATTAGTCGTACACAAAATTTTAACTTGGGGATACATTTGGGAATCAGAATAAAAGCTAAGTTCAAATTTGGAAAAACTGACAAATGATCCAGCATCTTATGCAAAGGATTATTGTCAGATTAATGAAATGTCAGATACCCAGATGTTATTGCCAGGTTGTACCATTTTATTATAAATAAAAGTAAGACATGTCATCTAACAGATATCTTTGACTAAAGTAAGAAATCTTTGGCTCGAGTTTCTTCATAGGAAGAAATAATTTCTTGATTTTCTCAATGGAAATTTCTTTCAACAGATGAATTCCTCTCTGCATCTTTGTTAAATGGTTTTAGCTTTGATTATTATAATTTATTTGACTGAATTTCAATTTCATTGACTTGATAACTTTGTGAAATACAGAAACTTTGAATTATCAGCTATCTTTAAGTACTTAAAATATTAAATACAAGAAAAGAAAAGCCTCTCCAAAGAGATAAAGCAAAAGCTTGGTGTTGGGGGGGGGGTGAAGACCAGAGAGACGGCCCCGTGGCTAAGAGCACTGGCTACTCTAGGCTGATCTTTCAGAAGACTTGAGTTTGGGTCCAAGCACCCATACAGCAGTTCACAATGGCCTGTAACTCGAATTCATGGATCCAATGTCCTCTTCTGGCCTTTGTGGTGCTAGACACCAGGCACACATATGGTACACAGATACACATGTAAGCAACATACCCACATGCATAAAATAACAGATAGACTTAAATACCTTAAAAGCTTGCAATTATGACCATTAGTGTATTCTAATACTTAACAAAAAATCCTTTCTACTCTTCTCAAATCAATGTTATGAAATTAATTACTTCAGTGGCATGAAAAGAGGTTCAATTAAATACCCATGATTAGAATGAATGAAAAGCAGCACGTTTACCTCAATTCCTGAAAAAATCAGATTCGGGGAATGCTGCACTATTGTCCTGGTATTGTAGGCGCTGTCTCTTTTGTTCCTCACTGTGAGACTGAGATTGAACTTGTCATTCTGGGACCTGACAATCAGCAGGCTGGCTTCTGTGGTGGACACGTCCAGGCTGAGGTCTGAGATGCATTTTTCCTTGTTTCCACAGTCTTTGGCAAAGGGAATCTGAAGCGGGCACAGGCACAGATTTTTCATAGTGTAGTTAAACATCACTGAAAACCACCTATTAATTTGTGTAACAGAAAGGGCGTAGCACCCAGGGAAGAGAGAGCACAAGAAAATTGATTGTACGGCTGAGGTCTTAAGAAGTTTTACATTTACTGCTGGCTTTACAGGAGAAAGAATAAATGTTGACTTGTAGTCTTAATTTCCAAGACCTTTAAAGGAGGTAGATTTCACAGATATTTTACAGTGGCATCTGTTTCCTCATGAAGGACAGTTTCCAAACTGCAAGTCAAGAACTCCAAGATCTAAATCTACCACAGCTGCAGTTAAATGGCTTCCTACTAAAAAGAAGGAAATATTGAAGAAGCCATGGCAGGAAAATGGTTCAGCCACGTATCTGGAAGCTTCTTCACTTGATTCTTCTCTTTAAATTTCACCTTCCCTTGATCCAGTCTATCACCACACATGTCTGTCCTAGCCTCTTCTCTGTATCTCCCAAGTACCCTGCTCCCTCTCCATCTCCTCCTCGTGTTAAAGCAGCCCCTTCTACCGACATTCTGTACCCGTTTGTGTCCCTTCAACCATTTAACACATTGCAGCAGCTGTAGTTCTTAAACAGCATGCATCTGGTACCCACTGAGCTGAATTAAAACAGTCAACAGCACCTCACTGCCCTTTAAAACGTCTTTAATCTGGGTGGTGGCACCAAACCCCAGAGTATGCTCTGTCACCTTCACCTCTGCACTTTGGTTTCAGCTACAGTAGCTACAGTACCGAGTATCTTCCGTCTCTTCCGTGGCTCAGTATCCTCACACAAACTATCATCCAGCCACACTGCAAACAGGGTGGAAAATCACCCCTGTCTTTCAGGGCGTGACTTAAAAGCCACAACTACATGGGGGAGTTTGGAAGGAGGATGAATGGGGAAAAGAAACTTTCCGTCTCTACAGCTTTTCTCCATATGGCTATCCACGTGATATGCCTTCTCTCTCTGTCCCCTCAGTCCCTCTCAGACCTGTGTGCACCAGTGAACTTTGGGAGCGGAACAGAGGCTGCTCAGAACAGTCTCTTCCCGTCTCTTCGGTTTTGGGGGCAACGTTGTGCCCACAGGAAGCAAATATGCTCTGCTTTTTTTTATGTCGAAAGCTGTGGAGGTTTTGGTGAGAATGGCTTCCATGGGTTTCCATATTTGAATGCTTGGTCCCCAGTTAGTGGGACTGTCTGTGATAGATTAGGAGGTGTGGCCTTGGTGGAGAAGGTTTGTCATTGGAAGTGGGCTTTGAGGTTTAAGAGCCCAAGTCAACCCCCCTTCTCTCTCTCTCTCTCTCTCTCTCTCTCTCTCTCTCTCTCTCTCACACACACACACACACACACACCCTTCTGCCTGCTTCCTGCAGATAAGAATGGGAAGTGCTCAGCTACTGCTCCAGAGCCACGCCTCTCTGTTTCTCCCCACGATGGTCGATGGTCGTGGACTAATTAGCCCTCTGATGCTGTAAGCAAGCCCTCAATGAAATGCTTTCTTGCCTAAGAGTTGTCCTGGTCATGATGTCACCGCATAGCGTTAGACCAGTAATTAAGACACAAGCTTTGACACCACAAGCCTCCGTCAGGAAGGCCAGGGATGAACCTACACTGTTGACTAAGGGTTAGCTGTGTTCCAAGTATGAGGTCCAGTATGAGTGCATCGTTATCCCTAAACTGTGTCTCATAATTTAGTGCTTATCAGGGCAAATGCCTTTCTAATTGTTTATTTTACAGTTCCCTCCAACCCCAGCAAGGAAGTCAGAGGGACTGGGAGAAGTCTAGAATTGTCCAATTCTCTCTCTGTCTCTCTCTTTTCTCTCTCTAACACGCAATTGATTTAAATTATGTGTATATGTGGTTTTCGTTTTTCTAATGTGTTCACAAACAGACATTGTAAGTTCATCTTACGTGTTCGTGGACTGAGTTTGGCAGAGCATCATCCAGCACGGGCCCGTTCTCTGGATCGGTAAGATTAAAATCCAAAGTCACTCTCACAGAGTCCTGGAAATCATGCTTATCCTACAAGGTGAAACATAACATTTGTCAGTGGGGTCAGATTTGCTGGGTGTTGCGACTCTGTTGGAGCATCCTTCTGCCCCTCTAGTTTACTGAAAACTTCTTGCTCACTGACGTCATACCTCAGGAGGCCTTTGCTTTGCTGAAGTGGTATAGCTTTTCCGTTTTGTCAAGGGTTATAGCTGGGAAGTGACTGCTCCAGAATGCCAGGTAACTCCCCTCAAACTCCACAGAGGGACTTGCTGGAGGTTCCCCCCAGTAACCCCACTGCCTGAATATACCACCCTGAGCTACATAAGAAAAATAGTGTTCTTGAGACCCACGCCAGTACTCACTCTGGGAAAGCGTCTCGCTCCCTTTAAGAAGGACAGACTCACCCAATGCACCTGTATTTCACTCATATACATCTAAACCTATGGAATTTTGCAATGCATAGATCCGGAAACGATGTGAACATGATTAATGTTTTCCATTTCACTAAGAACCGTTATTTTTTATGTCATCAACCACAGTCTTTATGTACATTGCTGTGCCCTCCAAGGTGGGTAGCTATGAGGAGTCTTTTTTTTTAAGATTTATTTATTTATTATGTATACAACATTCCTTCCATGTATGCTTGCACGCCAGAAGAGGGCACCAGATCTCATTACAGATGGTTGTGAGCCACCATGTGGTTGCTGGGAATTGAACTCAGGACCTCTGGAAGAGCAGTCAGTGCTCTTAACCTCTGAGCCATCTCTCCAGCCCAAGGAGTCTTATTTTATACAGCATCTCTGAGACTAAATGACTTGCCCTTAGTCATTCAGACCCTGGGGCAGCTGGATATACACCACATCCCATTCAGTTCCACAGCAAATGCTAACATGCCGAGGACAATCCAGAGGGTTTTGGTAATGTTTGAAGCTAGTTCATTCCCCTTAGCACTGGTCCCTGGACACAGCTCATACGCTGCCCTCGTGCACACGACTGCAGTCAGTGTCCGCAGACTGGAGCCAGATCTGTCTGCTCCTCGTCAGATCTTCTCTGACGAACCCTTCAGTTCTCAGTTCTCAGTTCCGAACAACTACCGAGGGGGGACAACTACACAGCCGTGCCCACCAGCCTCTCAATCTGGAATAAGGCAGCTGTAATACATGATTTACTTGCCAACATGTAGAAGGAGTGCCTAGTGCATTCTGACTCCCGAACCGTGATGTTTCTTTGAATCTTTCTTTCCTGAGTTCCAGAGAAGAAGCTCCGGGAGATCTGCCTCAGCGAATCAAGGGTGACGCGGTACTGCAAATCTACGAACGGGAAGGGACATTGGACAGACACGTTTATTTGGGAATGACTTTCCCATAAGCCTCCTCCAATTAGCATTACAGAAAAAGCTCTTGAGCAGATGAATCAATAAAGGGTCTTTCACTGAGAAAACCTACAATGCAGAAATAGCGGTGGTCATGGACATCACCTTAAAAGCCTATGGCGTGGCCCTCTGACATGACCATGCATTTAACATTTAAGTCATAATTGTGTGTGATGTACTTACAGACATGCACTCACATACATAAATTATGCACATATATGTGAAGTGTGGTTTGAATTTACTGTATTTACCAAGTCTGAGTTTACAAAGTATGTGTTCAAGATAATTTTTTATAGTTTAGAAATGTTGGCAAATAGCCTGTATGATTTTATGTTAGTTTCAATAGAAACAAAAATAAACAAAGGCCATTTTTACCTTTTTGCAGAAACATGTCAACTTAGATTATATCCAAAACATGAAATTCTACAAAATAAGCCCTCATAGCTTTGACCCCAACATATTTCAACATCATTGAAGACTGTCTTAGACAGTTCAAAGCATAAGGCCAAGGGGACACACAGCTTGACACTACACACCCAGGAGCCACACACAGAGTAAGTCTGGTTAAAAACAAGGGTCTTATCTCTGTGTTCTCATTGAGAACCTTGGACTCAGTGTAAGTCAGGCCATCCGCAATACCAGTTATTCCGCAATACCAGTCTTTCCCAGCAGGGGGCAGGAGAAGGGAGAGGATTCTGTTTTAAACAATCTCATTTACAGACCATTTTAAATGCTCCCTGTGAAGAGTGTATATAATATAAATATATGGGGAGGCACAGGAAAAATATGGAATTTTGAGGTCAGTGCGTTCTAACATGCAATTTCTGCTGCAGAATTTACTAGGTTCCAGAACTGTTCCTCCTAGAGGAGTGGTTTCAGAGGTCAACAGGCTCACAGGGCAAATGTCTGGATCTAAAAAGGTTAATGATGCTCGGGAGAGGTCCTCATGCTGGAGCCAATACATTCTCTTCTGCCCCCAAAGTACTTGCTGCAATCATGATGCTTACCAGCTTCGTAATCCGAGTCTTCTTTAGACTTTAATTTCGCATAAAAACATATTGTAGCGTTTATGCATACTGTTTCTTTTCCCTCCACGCGGCAGTTTTTCTTTTGAATATTCACTTTGTTGGGTTCAAAACTCATGGTCACTTTAACTACAGCCACATCCCTGGCCCTGCAAATGCATAAACAACGGGATTACTCACACACGGTAGCATTTAGCTGGCCAGGGCGGTGAGAGTGCATCAAAGAACAGTCTCCTCTGTGTACTGTGTGTGCTTTTAGACTATTGTTCTTCAATGACTGCTTGATACATAAGCCATCGCATCTCATGTCCTAGGAGACCCCTGTTGTTTAGAACCATCTTAGGCATTTGGTTCAAAGACAGAAGACTTAAAATGGAACCAACTGACCAGGTGCAAGCTCAGAATCAAAATAGTATTTGGGGATCTGTGAGTTTGCTTTCAATTTGGGAATGGTTCAAAGCACCTACGAAACTAGCTGGACCCTGCCAGCTTTCATCAAAACTATAACACTCTCTGTTCTTGGAGCCTTGCTTTTGTGTCTTGGAGGAAGAGCTATGTTTGAGGCCCTGTGTGAGTCGGCTATTTCATGTAACTGCTAAGTTAGCTTTAATCATCAGAAACACTGTAGTCCCCGCTCCTTACCCATGGCTCGGCTTCCCAAGGGTTTCAGTTACTCATGGGCAAATCACCTGGGCCCAAAAATATTAGACAGAAAACTCCAGGAAGGAAAGAATCATGTTTTAAATTATGCACTGTTCCAAGCAGCGAGATAAAATCTGTAATTTTCCCATTGTCTGTCTGGACTGGGAAGCATTCAGAGTACCCGCTTTTACATTTTAATGGCAACTTACTACACCAGCAAAAGCATACACCATCTTGCACGTATTCTCTTCCATTAGAGTTTTAGTTTCTTTTCTTTTCTTTTTTCCTCCTCGTGTGCCTGAAGTGCATGCGGAGAACGGAGGCCGATGTGAGGTTTCGTCTTCCATTGGCCTCCATCTTTCTTTCTGAAAACAGTCTTTCTCTGAACAGCTCACTGATGCAGCTAGGCTTCTTGGCCGGTGGACTTGGGGGATTCTTGTTTACCCACCTCTCCCGCACCAGGATTCCATCTACTGTCCTGCCTTTCCTATGTGGGTGGTGTGAATGAGAGAGTTTCTGGAGAGGAGCTGCCTCTGCAGATCCTATCTGATGCGAACTGCAGCGGTGTGGAAAAGCTGCCATACTACAGGTCTGCAGCCTGATGATCTTCTGGTGGCCTAGTTTTAGCTCCCTGGATTCCTCGTCCAGCTCTGTGTCAGAACTCACATCCTGTAACTAATAGATAAAACTCTTCGGGCATCTGTTAACTCAGCAGACTACCAGCTTCGAACCGGCACAGAGGCTAAGACTGCCATCACCTGAGGCCTATGGAGAACTTTCCCCTGATTTGCAGTCACCACCACTGTGATGGATCCACCAACGCATTTTAAAACTGCCCCAATTTTTGAATTTCTTTGTGCTGTTACTGTAAAATGCCACAAAACTTCTTCCACATTGAAACGTGATATTAGGGGAGATTTAATAATGGCAGGATTCAGCCATTCATATTTGCTTAAGAATAAATCATGTAGTTCATTCCTTTAAGGTGCGAGTTCTTTTTTTCAATGACCATGGTGGAATGTAGACTTATCCTCCCATGTGTGTGTGTAGTAAAGCTTTCCTGATGGCGTCATCTCCCTAGCTCGTCTTGTTATAGCAAGGAAAGGTCACTGCATACGGTGCTCTGCTGGCTCTAAAGATCGCACATTTATTCCCATAAGTGCTGAAAAAGGAGTGTCACACTCCTTTCTTTTTTAAAAAAAAACTTTATTTACATTTCGTGTATGAGTGCTCTGTGTATATACATATATCAGATGCTGTTATAGATGGTTGTGAGCCACCATGTGGGTGCTGGGAATTGAACTCAGGACCTCAGGAAGAGCAGCCAGGGCTCTTATCAGCTGAGCCATCTCTCCAGCCCCAATATCATACATTTTAAGGAATATTTGTTTCTACATCATAATTTAAATGGCTCTAAATTATACCTGCAAATTCCTTTAATCAGCAAGGCTATCTTGTGATTTTGAAATGTTTGTGGACAAACACTTGGTGAGTTTCAGCTAGCTTACTCCTCGCCAACAATGAGTGGGCACGACCAGTTTCCTTCTGGGTGAAAAGGATTCTCCAGGCAGGAGAGTGGCTTGCCTATGTCTACCCCGCTCATCCTGTCTTCCCCAGCTGTATCTTTATGGAGGTTTGGGTGACTGGTCCACATAACTGGGTTCTTGCTATCTGCTCACAGACTGCATCTGCTCAACCACTTGCCTTCTGTCTCCTGTTGAAGTCCCATCCCTACTTTCACAAAATCTGGGTCTTTAGGACCCAGTGTCCAAGCCTACTTTGTTCAGTTGTCAATGAAACCTAGGCCATAAAAAAGTCTGTATCTCTTTCTGTGGTTCAGGTAAACTAACGAAGGGTTCTCTAAAACCTTGAACACACACACACACACACACATACACACACACACACACACACACACACACACACACACACACACACATCTTCTAAAGACACCACCCATACCACTTCCCTCAAAAGAGAATACTGGTTTTAGTGTCAAGTGCATGGTTGAGAACCAAATTAAGAGTTCATTCTATCCACTCCTATTCAACTTCTGTGTTCTTGGGATTCCCTGATGCATCAATCCATTGAATAACTTGCATCTTGCCAGTACAAGAAATAGACGTTTGATATGACAAGAGTTCTAATCATACTATGTGGTCATATGGAAAATGCTGCCAGGTGCATAACCAGATATTATAACATACATACCAGAAGAGGGCAGCTCCACCGAGGCCTCCGATGGTCACATCAGTCAGGCCGTCACCATTTAAATCCATCTCTCCATGGATAGACTGGCCAAAAAATTTCAGTGTCTTGCCATCCCCACCTGATGGAATACGCTGTGAAAATCCCAACAGACAGGTTGATGGCGGAAGAGACCATTCAAAATGGTTTTGAGTAAATCTGAGAATTTGGATTAGTGCATAAAGTTGAAAGCAAAGGTCTTTGGGGGACTGAGAGGGCCCTGAGTGGAAGCAAGAGAAAACACAGAGATAGTCCCAGGGGAAATTGTTCTTCCTATAGCCCCGACTGGCATGTCAGGGTCAGAGACTCGGAGAGAGGGGCACTGATGTATAATGTCCTTTTGTCTACTGCTCAAGAGGAATCTGAGCAACAGGTTCCATTTACACTTCTTTGTCAATTCTAATAAACAGATATAGTCAAAGGTACTGGAACCCTTAAAAACACATTGTATGTGCAAGAGGACAAACAGATGACTGCATGGGACAATTCAAAAACTGTCCTAAAATGCACATCTCCACTCACATCCACCCCAACATAAGGAAGGCACCGTGACTATGCGGTTCTTGAAGGCTCACGTGTGCACCTATGCACCTCACCTTCCAAGGAAAGTCATCTTTCTGTGCTCTGTAGCTTTTGTTTGTCCAAGCAGATACGATTTTGATAAAACCTGTTGGCAAGGAGACAGGACTAACAGACTCTTCCTTAACTTTAAGTATTCTTTTCCTTCTTGATTCTTTTTAAGTAACCAAAAGGAAGAAGTCAAATAGGAAAAAGTGATGTGGAAATACAATATGTCTCCTTGATAAACATTCCCAGAATTCTTCAGCAAACAAATCAAATGATATGTGCCTCATCAGTCCTGGAAGAGCGGATGCTCCTTGATTCTGGGCTATGCTGCATTTCTGGAAGTGGGTGAATACACACTCATCTGTGCCCTAGGAAAGCACTTTCCACTAAAAACAACCGAACTCTAATAATGTTTGGTTAATTTGTTTAAAGCTGCATTTTGATTTACCAGTACTTTAAAAATATATTACTTATGACAATTTATTTCATTAAACAATTAAACATCTTTCTTTGCTCCAAATGCCATCCATTGAACCTGCAGGATTCATACTAAAAGAACAAAGCAACAAAATACAAGAAAGCTCTCTGGGTGTATTTCCTGGTTCCTCAATGCCCCAATGGTTAATGTCCCAATGCCTGTTACTAATTAAGTATATAATCCCACACAGATTTTTAACCGAAACAAACCATTTGTCAAATGGACAAGAGTGTTGTTACTTATATAAGCCTTTTATTTTGTTCACTATTAATTTAATGTCATTATAACTTATAAAAAGTTAACAAAGTATTACATGAGTAGGTTTTGAGAATTCTGCTGACTACAAAAATAAAAGAGACCACTGAAATGTAAAAATAAATAGCTAATGTCTGGATTCTCTTCATGGCTTAGATTCTAAATAATATTGTTTTGTTGAATTATAATATATTTATTCATAATCACTCATTGCTTAACTAAATATGATTATATAGAAACTGACCATTACATTACAACTTCTCTAAACTCTCTCTTGTTTATGATGTGTTAAACATTTATATTTAACAATGAATATTTTTTCTTATGCAGTAAGAAATTAAATTTATAGTTTAGGTCAATAAATGTTAAACTGCTTAACTATCAATAAATTTAAAACAAGAACAACAGAAATCCCCTGCAGGCCCAAATTAATCGTTCACATTTTTTCCAAGAAAGATTACCTGAGAAAAAAAAAGCTGTAAACCTCAGAAACCCATATTAATTTTATGACAATATATAATATTAATTTATAATTATAAACTTAATATAATTTTGTTAAACAACAGTATGGGTAATGAATAAGAGAAAAACACAGTATCATCTCATTTATTGACTAAATCACACTATTATTGCCCCCTTACTCTTTGGGGTTAAACACTCTATAGGTGTCTAATCACATTATCACCAGGTGTTCTTGTGTTTGTTTATTTTCCGATTTCAAATGATCAGGTTCAAGAAGGCAGACAAATAATCACAGAAAAGAAACCAGACAACAGCATAAAATGCTAACTGATTCTTTCAAGAAAGAACACAGGAGAAAATCGTACCTAGCTTCCCCAATGAGTCAGACTAAAGAAGCAAAGTAAGGTATGAGCTGTGGAGAAGATGGATAAGACCCCTGGGCAGGGAAGAGTGAGAGCCTAGGGGGACCTCGTGTCTTACTTGTGCATAGTCCTTCCTTATGGTCTTGTCACTGCCGTGATGGATGTACACAGCGCCTGCGTGGTCGTCCTCCAGAGGAGCTCCGATCACCACGTCATTAAACCCATCCACGTTGAGGTCTTTTACAGCAGCAATTGCTGTTCCAAACCGGGCCCCGCAGGGCTCATTCTTGTTTTCTTTTGTGCATGAATTATCCTTCAGAGATGAACAGCACGTCTGCTTAATTGGTTCCAGGCTCATTTGATATTCAAACCTTGTCTGGAGGGAAAACAAACAGAACGCTTAAGCGCTCCCAACACTGCTACAGAGGAGTAGGCCTGATTTTAAGAGCATGCTGAACCAACCTTACAAAGTAACCATTGGAATACCAACGGCAAACCTGTAAAATATAGGGAAAGGTAGGAATGCCAAAGGAGCCCCAGGAAGCAGGCATGCTCAGAATTCCAACGGGCTCTTCTTAATGAAGCCAAGGGTATAATTAGTAGTATGTTTTCAACCTATTACAGAAGTAAAAATGAAATCCTCCATTGTGGTCCCAGCCCTGCTTTCCCAAATGTGCTTCTTGGCGAAGACAAGAACAAAATTTTCTCTGCTCAAAATGTAAACCTTCAAAAGTTGCCTGGAGTGGAAGGAAACATATACAATGCTAACAAAAAACACTCTTTTATAGGAAAAATAGGGAGGGAGGGGGGGAGGGAGGGGGAGAGGGAGAGAGAGAGAGAGAGAGAGAGAGAGAGAGAGAGAGAGAACAACACATGGGTTCTTTCACCAAACACGTGGGAGAAAGCCAAGAAAAAGATAGGACGAAAGGTATGCAATTTGTGATTAAAATAATTAGTATGAGATAAAATAAGAATTAAAAATAACAACAAAATGAGCCGTGAGCCTGTCTATAAATAGCAAATATCCTTTTAATAAAGAAGGCAAAAATTACTTCTCCAAACAAATGACGTTTAAAATTAAGATTGAAATCAGAATCTCCCTTCGCCTGGCAAAAGCATTCCAAAACCCACACTGTCTCCCAGGAAGGACTTGGTACCCTTGTCTATCACCGTGTAAATGTGTAAGCCTCCAACCTATGCAGGCTAGAGCTCTCGAATAGGTTATGAACAGGATTATGTGCCAGGTGAGTGACATTTGCATGCCATATTTTTCCTGTATATTCCGGTTTAAAAAAAAAAAAGGACAAAACAAAAATGGGTAGTAACAATAGAAGCAAACAAAAAGCCTATTTCATATTTTCAAGCAAAACATAATAAAGGTCTGAAAGTAGTTTACTAGGATTCTAAATGTTCCTTTTGAAAGTATGAAATTGACTGGGCCTTGCAAATTTCTTAGATCTTTTTTTTTTCCTCCAAGCAAGTGAAAGTTTGTCCAGCTGCTTTAGTGGGAGCTGAAGGGAAGGGTCTTTCTGGATTCACCGATCTCAAAGGCTGTTACCTGGTTCACAGCGTAGACATACACTTTGCCCTGTTCCTCTTTCTCTGTCCCCATGTACATGGGAGCCCCGACGAGAAGCAGGTCAGTATAAGAATCTTTGTCAACGTCAATTGTTGTCAAGACGCTACCAAAGTAGGAGCCGATCTAGGACGCAAGACAGAAGAAGCAGGGATGAAATCTCAGGAGCGCTCCAGGAAGTGAAACTCGGCCACTCTGTTAATTGCCCTGGTCTAGAAAAGGAAGTGAGGGCTGGTGTCGAGAGCAACAAAAGACAGAAACTTTTCCTAGTCAGATCTTCTGTAGGCTGAAGCATGACGTGGTCCTGGCTTTGAGAATGACCTGTGGTGACAGATTTGTGTCTAGGAGTTAGAGGCATGACCTTTATTCCTAGCGTGCTTCAGGACTGTCCTTGCTTCTCCACGCATCAGATCAATACTACGACAGTGGGTTTCTTAAGGAAAAAGAAAACGAATGAGATTGAGAGAGGCTTTCTGTTCTCACAGGGTGTGCATTGGGCACTGTGGGAATGTGCAGCACATGCATGGATGTGACTGAGTGTTCCTGCCAGAGTCAAGCGCACGTTGTACCTTGGTTTCTGATGAGCGCTTACTCAATAGTGGCTGAGTTGTGTCCAGCAGCTAGAAGGGGTAAAAAATAGAAAAAGATTGCAGGGGCTTTCTTCTTGAATAACATTTTAAAGAAAAGATCCATTCTAGTGGAGAACTGGCTTTACATTATCTAAATGCTCAAATCACTTTTCACATATTGACCTGTATTGAATACTTTACATTCTTAACGTTCCTCTTACAGATCTTTCTTTATAGGCTTATTTTTATCTTTGTTCTATAATTCTATTTCTTTATCATCTATGACATGTTTTGGTTTTGGGGGAGTGGAATGGGGTGTGAGGTATTGAGACACTGTCTTTTTCTGTATAACTCAGGCTGGACTGGACCTCATTGTATAGAAGAGGCTGTTCTTGAACTTCTGGCAACTCTCTTCTCTTAGTCTCTAGAGTGCTAGGATCATAGGTAAAAGCTACCATGCTCACTATAAACAACACTTGTTTTTCATCTATCCTTGCAAGTTTCCTTCTCTCCTTTCAGCTCCTAAATTTTATCCTGCTCTAAAGGTCAGGTCTGTCTTCGTCTTTGGGTTCTCTAAGGCTAGATGGAGATGCTTTGCCAGGCTGGATATGAATGTGAGGATGCATTTTAAAAGCTCTTTCTTTAAGGTACAACTGCACAGACATTTGAAAAGTTTATAATTTAAAATTATACATTTTAAAAAGCCAAAAAGAAAATCCATAAGTCCTTGCACTGTTGGGCATTCATTTCTAGAGTCGCTGGTCCTCGGCAGCTCAGAGTGAGTTCATGAACTCCTGAGGTCCACAGTTTCCCAACTTCCTCAGTCTCATTCCCAGCAGCTTTGGTCATTAGACTTCATGTCGTCACAGGAAACATGTCTAAGTATAATAATTAATGTTATATATAATAATTACCCCAACTCAAGAATGGTTTACCATGTAATCATGGCACAAGCTTTGTGAAAGAATCTCAGGCTTAGAACAGAAAATATTATTATTTAAATAACATCCACAACATCCCCCTTCACTTACCATAAGAATGTTTGCTTTATATTTTTATATTCCCCTATACTTGCAGACAGTTTCAGAATGGTAACAGACTTCAGTTGTCAACAACAACAATAACAACAAATATCATTTTCTAACTCTTTGGCTTCAGTTATCACCAACTTACACCACTGTCCCTCCTTCCTTTCCATTTCATCATGTTGATAAACCATTTCAGGTGGTTCGAATGTCACCTTGAGCTAAAGTGATAGCCGTTTTATTGCTGATGAGTTTCTGAATGCAGATATGGCTAAATTAATAGAATCCTTTCACCTGAACATGAGGGACTACCTCTGCCGTACTCTGGGATGCCTCAGGAGTCTGCGGAGGATAGCCTCCCTGCACCGCTGAGCCATGCTGATAGGGGTGAAAATAACCCTGAATAGGGATGCTGCATTGAGGCTGGGTGGACTTGGAAGAAAACTCTTTGTATATCATGTGGCTTCTGAGACTGTGGTGGCCTTTGCAGAGCCCCTTTGAGCCATGGCTTATGCTACCATAAAGGACACTGTTCCTCTGGGGCTCAGGACTTGAACACTAGGGTCACTTCTAGACCTACTCAGTGTGACCCCTGACACCTGACTGCTGGTTATGACGGCAAAAGGGGGAAGATCAATTTCAGATCTGCCTACCGAAGACTGAGCAGAACATCCTTGCAAATAGCAGAATGAACTCTCACTGTGGAATGCTTGGAAAACCCATAAAATCATGAGAAAAAAAAAAGACAAAAGTTACTCAAATTACTGCTCAAAACTAAACATTGAGTAGCAAGCCACACATTATATTCAGTCTAATGCACTAAAATTAACACGTGCCTACTGTATGTAGAGTTTCCTAAACAACTTTTAATATTTAAGGATATTTTAAAGAATTTTCCAATTTTACATGTTGCATACAGTTTCCCATCCCCTACAGCATGACCCGATGCATTGAACTGGACACGTAAATGCTGACACAGTTTTAAGTCTTTCCTCTCGATCTTCTCATCTGTTTCCCATCTTTCCTTTTAGAGCCAGCACAAAGTTTATCTCTTATGGGTTTCCAGTACCATTCACAACTTAAGGCTACTTTTCTTCTTGTGAATGCTCTATGCAACCGACCTCTCATAATTCTTAATGTTTTAGATCTTAGTATTTCTTGTATAGTTTGAATGAAACTGCAGGCGATACCTAATATATGTGCATAGCTACCTCTTCCTCATTCCAGCTGTTGTGCTTATGACATCTAAGGTATGACTACTTCACGCCCCTCCAAAGAATCAACATGCCAATGACATGGAACAATTTATTTCAAGTTTACCTGCTCTCCACTGAGTGTCTGGAGAACTTTGACGTTCCCGTCCTCCATCTTGTAGATGACGACCTGGCCAGTGTGATTGAACCGAGGCTGTCCAGCGATGTAGAGCACATCTCCAGGGAGCGTGGCGGAGTTCACTGTGTAACCTGACCAAAGAGAGATCCCAGAGTGTACCCGGACCCACAGAGTCCTATGTAACACAGCATGAATTACTTTAGATGGTTAGGCTAACCATCTTTATATTTTCTTGCATTTTGTGCAAGGTGAGACGCCCTCGCTGTGCTCCCTGTTTCTACCTCAACTGATGGCTCTGAAATGCTGGTATTCCCCCCCCCGCCCCAACCGAATCTGTCATTGTTTACAGATGCAAGTGATACAACAGAGATGACGGAAAAGAGGAAACGGTTCCTCCATGCACTTGTGCACAATCGTACACACTCACGCCCACCTTAAAACCATCCAGCCACCATTTTGGAGCAAATTAATTATATTTTATTTAGATCAGTGGTTCTCAAACTGTGGGGTGTATCCCCTTTGGGGTGGAATGACTCTGTTACAGGGGTTGCCTAAGATCCCTAGTAAACATAGCTATTTACATTATGATTCATAACAGTATCAAAAATACAATTATGAAGTGGCGATGGAAATAGTTTTATGGTTGGGGTCGCCACATGAGGAACCGTATTGAAGAGTCGCAGTTTTAGGAAGGTTGAGAAGCACTGCTGTAGAAGCTGGCATCTGTACTATCAGCACTCATAGTTTTATATACTCAGGATGACAGAAAACACAATCTGCTCCTGGTTAACCAAGTTTCTACACTGGTTGTTTGTGTTGTGTCATGGAGGTATCGCCTTTCCTTCCTGGCCATTTGCTGATGGGATAATGGAATCTGGGTGGTTTTTGTTGTTTTTATTTTGTTTTTTGTCTGTTATAACAATTTTTGTACTATGACATTTTTTCTTCTTTTGAATATTGTTTTTACAATAAGTTTAAAGTAATAGATGGTTGGATCAATTTTCCCCATTCTTACAATGTGAGGTGAGTTGATTCCGGGACATCCAGACTAGAGTTATTCTATGAACTGCTGTATGTGAGTGATTTAGTTTTATTATAGCTTCCCGGGTATTATATGTGAGTCCTATGAGTCACAGATGTGGATGTCTGTACGGCTGTAAATTAGCTAACAATTCAATGGTGTGATTTTCTTAACTCCTTTTTTTTTCTTATTAAAACGGAGGTTTTTCCCACACCTCTACTCATCTCATTTTCTAGATGCTCTGTATAATATGATTTTTTTTTTTACTTTCATCAACATGTGTTGTTTTATGTTGTCGTTTCTCATGAGCCATGCAATTGTTTTCTATTATCCTTTCTCTTCCAGGCCACCGCCACTTAAGGTTTAAGCACACCTCGTTCCCTTTCAGTCAGAATTGTCCTGTTATGACAGAGCGAGCTCATGCATGGGTCAATCTGATCACCGGCTCTGTGCTTTTACGCGTTCTGTGCTTGACCAAGCGCTCATCCCAGCTGCCTCTGTTGATTTAGCTTAGTAACCAGGGAACGCATGGACAGGCCCCAAGTTTGCCATTGCCTTATATGCTTTTATACAGGTGCAGCACCCTTTTGGAGGCCTCAGGCCCACTTATAAGTCTGTCACTGAGGAAATGGAAGGACCCACAGTACAACAGTAAAGTCACTATTCAGATATGTGGTGGCTTTTCAGATATTCGTAGCCTGGATGGCCTGGGGAGTTTCTCAGATGCTATTATTAAAATGAACACGCTGTCTTGAGTATCGTGATATGCACGATTTTGAGGGGGAGTTCTGGCTCAAATACATAACAAAGAGGTAACTCGTGGCCATTTAGGAAAAGAGTTTGCATTGTTGATTTAAGTCAGATTATTATTATTTTTGAAGGAAAAAGAGTTTTGTATTTTATATCAGTATAGAATGGAACTAAATCAGTGGTTAACTCGCACTACACATAGGCTGCTCTCTGCAGAAGGAAGCAATGTTCTAATAGCCAGAAGAGGCTTGTTATTGGAGAAGACAAGTGTAGCTCTGAAGTGTGCCACTAAGAGCCACTTCTAACTGTGAGACTGATCGTATTTTTAATTTAAGTAGTAACCATTTTTACTATAAGTTAAACTAGTCCACTTTTGTACAAGTAATATGTTTATATGAATGCTAAAGGAATGAAATCTGTCAGGTATATTATCCTTTAACTGTCCGAATACCTAGTAGGAAGAGGATCAGTGCTAGAAACTGTAATATTCCACAAACCCGTATCAGTTTTCTACTGATGCTGTAACAGATTAGTATAAACTTAATAGCTTACAACATCCATTCCAAATGCCTTATTTTGCAATTCTGTAAGCTAGAATTCCTACATAGCTCTTTCTCTCTTGGACTATAGTGAGAGGCAGGTGGAGGTACGCACCTTTCTGAAGACTGTGGAGAAAACACACTTCTTTGTCCTTTGTGACCTAGAGAGCACATATGTTCCCATTTTCTCCTTTATTGCCAACAACACTGTATCTCTCTGATCATCTCCTACAATTCTGTCTCTCTCTAAACACATCTAGGGAAGATTTTTCTGTTTCATCATTTGGTTATATTAGACTATGGCAATGTGTACTGGCTGGTTGTGTGTGTCAACTTGACACAAGCTAGACTCGTCAAAGAGGAAGAAGTCTCAATTAAGGAAATGTCTCCAGGAGATCCAGCTGTAAGGCATTTTCTCAATTAGTGATCAATGGGGGCGAGCCCTGTCCATGATAGGTGGTGCCACCCTTGGGCTGGTGGTCCTGGGTTCTATAAGAAAGCAGGTTGAGCAAGCCAGAGCAAACAAGTCAATAAACAGCACCCCTCCATGGCCTCTACATCAGCTCCTGCCACCAGGATCCTGCGCTCTTTGAGTTCCTGTCCTGACTTCCTTTGGTGGTGAACAACAATGTGAATGTGTAAGATGAATAAATTCTTTTCTCCCCAACTCTTTTTTGGTCATGGTGTTTTGCCACAACAAAACCCTAAGACACAATATATCTAAGAATAATGTATCTCAGGATCCTTTATATAGTTACAGTTGGAAAGTTCTTTTTGCCTCATAAAGTAACACATTAATAGGTCCAGGGATTAGGGCCAGGACATTGGATTTGATTTTGTTTGTTTGTTTTTGTTTTGTTTGGGGTAGGGTCTTATAGTGAATTTCTGGCAATGCAGAATGATCCTTCCTGGGTTTCTGCAAACACATGATCATATGAATTATAATAATTTACATTTACAAATCCTTCCAACACATGTGATGATAAATGTTCTGTAACTGTTCTATTTAGGACAGAAAGAAACTTCAGGTTAAATTGGCTTTTGATTCCAAGGTCTCTCACATATAACAACGCCCCAGAATCTTAGGTTATGAAGAACTTCGGAAGCTGTGTGAGCTAGGCCCCCACCACTGCCTAGCAGTTCTCCGTCTTAGCCCATAGCACACCGAGTGGGATTGCTTGTTTCTTCACTATTCCTCATCCAAAACAATGCCAGCATCGCAGCATCGCTCTGCCTTACCCATTTTGCCATTTTTAATTTGCCTAATATTTCTGGTACAACATAGGCATTCTGTATTTGTGGATGCTTTTCCATTCAGCCCAGAGTCAGGTGTTTGGCTCCAGGGAAATGAATACTAGTGTAAGCTTCGGGGGACCTGACTGGCACGTCGGAGCTGCTACAGATAACTGGGGCGCAATGGCTTTGTCCTCTGATGATCAATTTAGAAAGCATATTGAGCATGGCTCTCACTACTACAGCTCAGCATGAAGTGTGAGCTCAACCCTGGCAGTGTGGACCACACATTCTCATCTCTTTCAGACACACAGTACGCTTTCTGCTCCAACTTCCAGTTACTTGGAGATTTGGAGGAAGGTGAAGCATTTCCACGTCTGTCTTCTCTAAATCATCCTTTATTCTAAATCATTTTTGTCACTTAGGTTTTGAGTTGTTTGCTTCTGTTTTTTTTTTTCTGGGAGGAGGAGGAGAAGGTGATAACTTCTCTGAGGAAGAAGGTGGGAGCTTCGTTTATGACGCTTGTTGCATCTTAGGCTTTGTGACCTCTTCTGCTTACTGTGATGTGTCAACAGAGACCCCAGCTCTCAAGTCCTGCTGCCTCTGCAGCTGTCACATGTGCTCTGAGTAGCAAGAGATGTGGAGATGCCCAGACAGACTTGGCGCTTTCCTCATAAGACAGAAAGGAACTAGGATTTAGAAAGGAAAGGACTTGCTTCCAGGGTAGAAAGCTCCTTGAAAGAACACTTTGACGGTAAAATGGGGATAGTGCAATACTAAGGTGTTTCCTTTATCACTGTCCCCTAACACTGAGAATAATGGCAGGGCAAAAGGAGACCTAAGGCCCAGTGTGTTAAGGGAGGATAGGGGACAGTATCAGGAGGGTCCTTCCCATCTTAGATTAGGCCTCCTACCTGTTTCCTGTGCCCTCCCAATGATGAGAGAACCCTCACTTTTCCCTGCCCCCAGCTGTTTCGGAGCCTGGTACAGATACTGACATCATACACACACCCCATCTTCTTGTTATGGCGAGTGTTCAGACTCCAACAAACTGCTGAGCTTAAGTGCTACGTTTTACTGAATGTGCACAGAAGCTATAGATACAGAATAGAATAGACCCAAAGAAGAAGCTATATGGCCAAGCAATTGAGAATTCCTCTTTCATAATGAGAACTTGAAGAAAGAAATTGAGGATAAATATTATATAGGCCACGTCAAGGTTTTTCTAACCTCGTTTTCTGTCGAGCAGGTCCAAAGGTCTTTTGGTTTTAAAGGAAATATTGGACGCAGAAGGCACTCTTAGACAGCCCTCATCGGCTAACGCTGCTCCTTACCCTGGACACACCTCAGCAGGCACTGAGCTGATGACCCCCAGCTGCTGGCACCTTGAGACGTCACGGCTCCTCGGAAGTCTGAAAGCTTCCCTAGGTCTTTCAAAACATCTTTAAAGCAATCTTATTGCGTGGCTTAAAACTACAGACGCCGGAGAAAACAATGCTAGAGAGACAAGCCTTTGGAAGAAGCTTCTAGCAGTTGCATCTAAGCCTTACCTAAATAAGAAGCAAGAGGTTCGTTCATTTTGGTGGGCTCAGTTTGAAAGGTGGTGTTCTGAGGGATGACAATCTGGTTGGCCTTCTGCATGACTACCGTGCCGTTCCAGTCATAGGCTCCCACTGCTCCAAGCATGACCCAGTCCTACCGTGTGAGTTCAGAAAGCAGTAAAACGGCATTAGCAAACCCTTATGTTGCTTTAACAGTGTGATAGGAATGGTTCAAAGCGCTTTATTTAAATTCATTCATATAGTCCTCAAAATAACTTTCTTTACAAGAGCCCAACATTACAATCCCTCTTTTAAGCCCCGTGGTGGTGGTCCACATCTCTTATCCCAGCACCCTGGAGACAGAAGCAGGCGGGTGTATAGAGGGAGTCCCAGGACAGCCAGGGCTACACAGAGAAACCTTGTCTTGAAAAAGAAAAGAGCAAGCAAACAAGCAATCAAACAAATGAAAATTCCAACATTAACTAAAAAGGAAGCTGAGGGCCACTGTGTAATTTCCACATTGAAATGTTGATACTCTGTATAATGATCATGATGTCTTCTTTTTTTGCCTTTCTATGTTATTCTGGACATATACATGTACATACGCACAAAATCACATCTTAGTCTTCTAAGGAATGTTAGCATGACCGATGACCAATGAATACCTTAACACTGAGAAAATGATTCCCCGTTTTACACAAATGCCTTATGTATTTCATTTCATTAGATGCACAGTTACATTCAGCACAGCTCAGACTGTATGGATCATAACAATTAATAGTTCATAAGTATTAACTGATAAAATATAGGAGCCGTGTGAAGTAGTCTCCTATTAAGAATCTCAGAGATGCCATTTTCCCGTTTGGATTGGGTCTTACAATCACAGTCTGCAGAGCTGGCCTCACCGTAAACTTCAGAGAAATCTTACTCCGTCGATGGCTGGGCATTGCCCCCAGGGAGCCAAGTGTGCAGAAAAGGTATCTCTTTCCTGGACATGATCCACATACCTGGGAATAATGCGCGCTGAAGCCAGTCTGAGACATTTCCATCTCGAATGAAGCTGCCGACTGGTCAGCTGTAGCTATAACGTAGGAAAGATAACACAGTAAGTGACTAGCAGTGTCATTTAGGCTGCGATTGATCTGCTGGACACAGAATTGCTAGAATCTGGGGACCTGCCAAGGCGAACTGTGGAACGTTTAGGGCACTATCAGCCATGTACTTCTCAACCGAAACTCCTAGGCAGGGCTCAGTATAAGACAGAGGTTAGAACCTCCTCTCCCATTCTTACGTATTGGTTTCCCATCATCACTGAGGGGATGTTAATCTGCATGCTTTCAGTGAGTTTATTTGATTTTAAAAATAAGTCAAATAGTGCTGCTATGAACATAGTTGAACAAATGCTTTTGTGGTATGATAGGGCATCTCTTGGGTATATTCCCAAGAGTGGAATTGCTGGGTCTTGAGAGAGGTTGACTCCCAGTTTCCTGAGAAACTGCCACACTGATTTCCACAGTGGCTGCACAAGTTTGCATTCCCACCAACAATGAATGAGAGTTCCCCTCTCTCCACATCCTCGGAATGTGGCTGGCCTGGAGTCTTTCTGAGAAGCCATTGACAATGACACTGGGACTTGTTTCCTCTGCATATACTGGATTTTTGGGATCCAGTCTGTTTGGATACTCACCTTCCTGGACCTGGAGGGAGGGGGGAGGAACTTGAACTTCCCACAGGGCAGGAAACCCTGACTGCTCTTTGGGATGGAGAGGAAGGAGGAGAGGGAATGGGGGGAGTGGGAGGGTGTTAGGAGGAGGGGCGGAAATATAAACTTTTATAATTTAATAAACTTTGAATTAAAAAAAGTCAAAAATAACATATAATTTTAACCAAGTCAGCCTGACCGTCTTTTCTACACTGTAGTTGCCTGTGATTCCTTGGTGCATTGGAAAGTTGAAATACTGCAGTAGGAGTCAACTGTCTTGTCTCCTGGATCTACGAGCCCTAACAAAAACTAAGTTTGATACTCTATGGGGCTGAAAAATCCTTCACCCAAGTATGTAAAAAGATTCCCAACTCATTAGTCCCACCTCCACTTGAGGCCATGCATCCTCTCTAGGAGACACTGTCTGAGAGAGCTGAAGGCTGTGGGGATCATTCATGTCAGGAGGTGACTTTCTCACCTAGCTCCCATCTGTGTCCCACCCAAATCTCTATTTTGAAAGAAACTTTCTGTCTTAAAAACACCACTTTTAAAGCTCATTGCTAAAGTCCAGACAGATTAGAGCATCGTATGGAATTGTGCTCTTCTCAAAATATTTACAGGCCAGAAGCCGCAGTCTCCTGGGGGGAACTGTGGGGATGTTGATCTACCCACTTCCAGGGAGTTACTGGTTTATTTGGTCTTAAAAATAAGCTAAAAATAACATAAAATTTTGGTCAAGTCAGCCAGTCTGTCAACGGATTCAAGAGAATCATTAAATTTGTGAACTTAAACATGTTTATTTTTTTACTGGAATAAAGCTATAAAAATGCATCTGTAATTGAATTTTTATAGGGCTAGGTTAAATGTGGCAACCAATCAAGAACCTGAATGTATCATTTAAATCCCTCACACAGATGGCCCTTTAAATAACCAAGATGCACTTTAGCTTAAATTAAAATGTGTTTTTGATACATAATGTTTCAAGCTACTTTCATGCTTACTTGGCCAGACTGATAGCAAGAACGTGTTAGTAGACACCAAAATCCCCCAGCTTCTGCTGCTATGTTTTCAGCTGAGAACAGAGGAAGATGCTGCATGGTCTTCTGCAGGCTGCATTAGCATCATGGGAATAGCCTGGCCATAATCCCACTGGCCAAATTTCTCACTTTCATCCTGTCTCTGGCAGGCTCATGGGGAGTAAACCAACTGCACTGACCCTTGCCCTGCTTCCCATTAGGAATGTGAGCATTTTCCCCAAAAGCTGGTAAGAAAGGGAGAATCATACCTTTCCCTGATCTAGTTAGTCAACTCCTGAGCATGCTTGGCTCACTCACTAGGTTGCTTGCTCTTGGCAAACCAGACTTTCATAATTGTTGTTATTTACCATCTAAAATAAGTATTGACAGGAAATGGAGATTTCCTAAACAACAGGGGAGAAAGCCTTTCGTGATCTCATTATGAAAATAATGGGAGCTAATAGACTGGAAGCCCTGCTGTGTGACGTCAGCACCAAGGAAGCTGAAGCAAGAGGAGCAGCAGGGCCAGTGAAACTTCTCCTTGAACACAAAAACAGAAACAGAAACCAGACCCAGAAACAAAAGAGACAGGTAACATGATTTTAGCCTGCATTAAGATGTAGAAAGATACTTTGGAGAGTTTTATAAAATGATTTCATATTTAAATATAGAGATTTCTGGAAGCGTTTGGACATTCTAGTAAGGAACTTCAACTGTGGTTTGGTTAGGTTATAACTAATCTTAAAGTGTCATTTCAGGCAAAATGAACGACATCCCTTACAATGTAGGTCACGTTCAGCCAGCTCTAGGTTATGTTTGCCTGCTGACTTAGCAAATATTTTATTTAGAAACGGCACTTTTTATGTTTAACTGACTAGTGTAATAGTAACTTAAAAAATCAACTCTTACAAGTAGTATTATACAGGTTATATTAAAAATTTATATGTGTACAATATACATATAAATACGTAATAACATTAATAAAAAAGAGGCCATGAATTTGAAGGAGAGTGAAGAGGGTTACAAGGGGGCTTTTGAGAGAGGAAGGGAAAGGGAGGAGTGTTGTAGTTATATTATTGTCTCAAAAACAAACAAACAAAAAAACAGGCAAAAAAAAACCCCAGCCATTTAAGCCCTTTCTGATTCTTTCTTGGTCTGTGTTATTAAAAGAGAAAAGTACACAGTAATTTAGAAGACCATCCATATTAAATCTAAGCAGGCATGGCCTCCCCTATTGATAAATAACATCTTGTCTCAGTGGCTTTTGAAAGACCAAAGCCGTGTAACAGTGACTTGGACTTAGATCACAGAACAGCCGAGCCATTCAGAAATGGCTAGGACTATAGACTGGTAAGGGCTCAAGGGTTCCGACTCTGGAGGCATTGGAGAGAAAGGGAGCCAGAGAAATTCCTTCTGCCTGGAATGCCTATCTTCGTCATCCTCGGAGTAAAGCAAGCCCCATGTGGACTGACTGCGACTTGGATTGAAAGCAATAAGGTGAGTAAAGCCATTTCACCATCATTGAAAGAGGACATTATGAGAGCAGGAAGATGGAGGGCAGCATAGTGCCCTGTGAATAACAATGCTATCGTGAGTCCTACTGAGATTGGCTTTGTTTTTATGTGTGTGAATATGCGTGTCCTGGATTGCGAAGCAAAACTTTTGCTACCAGGGACTACTCAAGAAATATTGCAAACAGTTGCTTTACATCATTTTCTTGAACTGGGGGTATAGGGAAGTTGTAGAGCAGTTGTCCAGTATATGTAAGGTCCTGGGCTTAGTCCTCAGCCCTCAGCACGCGCGCGCACACACACACACACACACACACACACACTTTTCTTGTCTACTGGATACTCACTTGAAATTGTCTACCCTTTTTAAAGTCATGCCTCATCCCCATATTCTCTTTGTTTGTTATTAACAGGTTCTGTGAGGGATCACAGGATAGAGTTTTTGACAATTATACAAGCGAGACTTTCAGAATGCCCCCTTGGAGACAGTCAGTGGAACTGAGATGCCCCAGAAGGGCAAAAGAATTCTCTGTGGTTTCTGTGGAGCCTGAGTTCTGAGTCTGGGTTTCGAGACTTTGAAAAATCCAAAGAAGACTTTACCAGCCAGAGGACATTAGCTGCAAAGCAGTTTGCTACTGGACTCCTCCCACTGAAGGGACTAGCAGTGTTCAACAGCTTCAATAGACAGTTACCGCTGAAAAAGTCAAAGGAAAATCCTCAAAGAGGTGGCATGGTTAGGCCACCATGGCAAATGAAGTTTCACTACCAAAGGACTTGAGGCAAAACTCCATGGCGATCTTTAAAAATGTGTAGAGAACACATGACAGAGGAAATGAAGAAAGAAATGATTGGATCAGAACACTCTCCGAGCAGGAAAGACAATTGGAAGACAAAAGTTGAGTCGATGGCTCTCTGTTCTAAACTTGTGTCACGGAAAAGGAATAAAGCGTGCTCATACTGCTCATGCTGGGGCATTCGGGTTCTTGCAAATGTCTATGCTGACCCCTGTGGTCATCAGCTCTCCCAGGCATTAGCACAGTCTAACAAAGACCGTGTCTAGCCACCACGGTTGTCTGTAAAGCAGTTCCACGATAGATTCACATGACAGAGACTTGCTCACTGATGGCTACTGCACACGGTGAAAATGAGTTAGTAAGGTGTTGAGAATACCCCAAACTCGTTACGTTAAGATTGAACTTTCGAAGAGACAGCCAAGATTAGGAGAGATAGTCATACCTTCCAAGGCAAATATCCTTTCTCCCAGAGCTTTGACAATGGTGACCAGGGCCAACTCATCTGAGACATTGAAGAAGTGCTTTTCAGTGGGCTCGCTTGCGATAGATTTTATTTCCTCCACAAATTTTTCAGTGCTTAAGTTCCCTCGGTTATAGTGGCCAAGAATCTAGGGCACAACAAAAATGGCAAGAACATATCTTAACTCCAATATGTTAAAGAAGTATTTCAAGCATATATTCAGTAAACAAGTGCATTCAGGATATCTTGTGCTGGGATCATGGGAATCTTTATGGAAGAGGAGCTTTCTGAGTACATGGTTTTCCTCATATTGAGTCGTGTAAATATTTATTTTATTTTTCATTGTATGTGCGTGGATGTGTGCGTGTCAGTGTGTGTGTGTATGTGTGTGCACCTGAGTACAGATCCCTTGGAGGTTGGGGGATGAAGCCTTCCTAGAGCCGGAGTTCCTGGCAGTTGGGTGCTGCCTGATAGGAGTGTTGAGAAACAAACTTGAGTCCTCCACAAAACTAGTACCTGATATCAACCACTGAACATCTCCCCACCCATATACACTGATTCTTAGAACCATAGGTGAGGCAGGAAAACAATCTTTCTTCTTCTGCACTCCTGTGTCTCTGTGTAACAGCTTTAACTTTGAAATATGACCATTCAAAAGACATGTTAGCTTTCTATATAACTGTGATACAATTGCAGCTACTGACAGGGCCATCTTCTGGCAGAGCAACCAAAAAGGGAGTTATGGAAGTGTTTTATGTGTTTGCACACACACACATATATATACATATATATGCTATACATGTGTATGTACACATGTGTGCATGCCTGCATTTTTTTCTTAGAGACCTGTGAAAGTTCTGAATATATATTCTGGCATGAAGCCTTTCATACTTCTTTCATTTTTCTATTAGAAGTTTTAAATTTTCATGAAGTCATACTAATCATGTTTCTTCTTTAAGGTATGTACAATTTTACATACCTTATTACTAGTTAGTATTGGTGTGAAATATCTATGTTTATGAAAATATCTAAATCTTAAACTAAAAATTCCCACTACAAAGATATGACCTAATTTTCTGTTTGAAAATTGAATACCTATGTGGGAATAGGAAAAGGTCCAAATAATATATTATCTTTTCATTTCTGTTTATAATATTGTATATTTCCATCTTTGATTTTCCCACATATAATGAAAATGTTACTCTTGTAACAAAACATGTTTAATTTTTACTTTATTTCAAGTGACACTTGAAGTGAGATATCTCACTGAATCTGGTCACAGGAGACAATCTACAAGCTCCAAAAGAACCCCACCACTATGTTTCCTGCCGAGACTACTTTTTTCCTTTTTCATTTTGGTAACCTATGTGTTTCTCTTAGATTCATTCAAATTCTGAATTATGTGGATTTCCCTGAGTTCCCCACTGATTTACTTTACTTATCCTACAGATCTTGTGATATCCTGGGATGATAAATCATCCTTGCTCCTCTTTGATTGTTACCTAGCATGTTCTAGATTAATTATTGGATCAACATATTAACTCCCATTTTATTTAAAATTGATAAAATTCAAAATATACACAAAACAAACATAACAGCTGAGTTTTAGGGTATGTGTGGTTGAAGCTGCTAGTTGTGAAGTGAATGTTATCAGACATTTAGTGGTAACTGTGACAGGAGGAAGATAAGCAGAATTAACTAAGTAGGAAAAATACCCACAAGACAGATTTAAAGAGCAAGCATAAAGCAGATAAGTATAACGCTGGAGAATACACTCAGATATGCAGGAGTTTCTGGGATTTCTATACAGGCTTAAACCATCCAACTTATACTACAAATGAAAACAATGACAGAAACCTATTGGGATCTTTCCACTCAAGGGCTTGGTAGCTTGCAAAATGTTTTCTATGAGAACAAACAAGAAGGTAAATAATACACCTAATTTTTAAAATACATCTCAAATATGTTGAACATAAGCATTTGAATTCTGATAACATTTACCTGAAAGATGTAGTCAGAACTGAAATCTCCTTGAAGTAGATGTGTCAAAATAAAATATGTACTGTATTTATGTGCAACATCATGTCTTTTATTTGAAAATATAAATGGAACACTATGATCCCTACTAATGTCTCATTTATGCTTGAGCACAATAAGTAATTCTCACTTCTCAACCATTACGAACTAAGAGTAGAATCTAAATATCTAATAAGGCCTGATGGACCAGTCTCATATTCTCCAATGACAGAAATAGAGGACTGAAAGTCAACTCATGGCTTCTCAAAACATGAAACTTTAACAGGAAACATTTGAAGTTTTAAAACACAGAACTTAAATTACCAATATTTAATCCTCTTGGGGACCTGTTTCCTGTCAAAACACATTTCTGTATTTTTCAGGATGAAAGGGTGGGGAAAAGATAAAATAGAAGGAACAGTCTAGACAGTGGCTGAGATAGAGGGACAATCCAGACAGTGACTGAGATGGAAGAATAGTTCACACAATAATTGAGACTGAATTTTTATTTGTGTGAATATGTGAATGTGTGCAGCCTTAGGGGACCCTGGGAGATTCCTGACGTCTGTCTGTGTTATTGCACAATGAGAAAAAGTAATACATGTGTCTTGTTTTCTATTTTGTCTCAAATAATATCTTTTAAAATAAACACAAAGTAGGGAAACATAACAAATATTTATTAAGTGACATTTTCTTGGTTTTTACTTATAGAGATTTCAAGAGCAGTTTGATAATAACACACTGATGAAATGGAAAGCACATGAATATAATATGGTTCTCCATGAAGATGAATGGGATGTTGAAATATCTTTTTCGCTAGATGAGAGAGACAATATATGATAACCAAATATAACTCCAAGTAGGCAAACAGTTCAAGACAAGGAAAAACTATGTCGTCAGACATGATACAAAACACAGAGTTCACTTAAAATGGTGTGCTGTCTTTGTCTTTCCAGTGAAACTTCTCCTAATGCTGGTTCTCTCTCTCTCTCTCTCTCTCTCTCTCTCTCTCTCTCTCTCTCTCTGTGTGTGTGTGTGTGTGTGTGTGTGTGTGTGTGCACTGAGTATAAAGTGTTCCCACAAGCGAAGCAAGCAATCTACGGCTGAATTGCATCCTCAGCACCAATACTGTTAATTCTGATGATGGCTGATACTGTTTGTGGCCTGCATCCACAGTACTTGGAATACCAACTGGTTCTCAAGGGGAAGCAAAAAAAAAAAAAAAAATGAGCTCATCTCTGATACTCAGATGTCTGGAATCAGTGAGCAAGTTCTGGCTTTCTACACTGATGAAAGAGACCGGCCATAGGCTTAATGTCACTTGTTATTTAGATATTTTCGTGAGTGACCATTTAAAACTATTCTCAACCATGAAATCAAAATGGTTACATTTTCGCAGCAGATGGGGTAAAAAAGCATTTGGAGAATGATGAGCGAATGGTAATTTATAAAAATGACAACAGAGAATGAGAGAAACAATTAGATGTTTAGTGGAGTTTTTTAAAATATCTTATACCTCAAATAAAATAAGAAAATGTTTCAGTCAAATATTATCACTTTATAACCAAACCATCTTGTTTATAAAATGTGCGACTTGGCCCCAGGGAGTCGTGCATCACATCCTTGGCCCCAGGGAGCCATGCGCATCACATCCTGGAACATTTTTTTCTGTGCATAAACCCCATCTTCCACTTCTTACATCATCCATGCCTTTGAAAGAAAGGCAGATTTGTTGACTGGATGTTGAAAACTTAAGCAGGTAATATTTGATTACCATTTGTGAAGAGTTCAGGGCTTTGGAATCTTTTCTCCTGGCTTTAAAACAAATCAATTGAATCAATTTTAGTGAATGAAAGAACAATTGATTTCAGAGAAGAGTGGCCTCCCCCTAGACTGTGGGCAGGACTATGAAGTGGAAGCTGGAAGGAAGGGCCAGATGTTGTCCTGGGGGCGATTCCCTGCAGGGTTCTGAGCAAAGAGGAAACCTTTTATCTCTAAATGCTAGGTTCTTATTAGCTCACTGTGGTGAATTCCTTGGATGGATCAGAGAGGAAGACAATTTTTATTGTGTGCCTCGCTGGCCACTGTTGTCATCGATTCTTCATGTGTTGAAAGAGACAGACTGACAGAAATAACATAATCTTTTGACAAAAGAACACCCTGAAGCTCAGTGTATTATAACTTGTTCTCTTGTCCCAGAGATGATATGCAGGAAAAAAAGCCTGTACAAAGGTGTTTCCGGCCCTGAAACACGGTATCCTCTGTCCTTCCCCACACCCAGCTTTCCGTTCCCTTCTGTTTCGTACACCTGGAAAATGGGACAGCTTGGGCAGCAGAAGCAGACGGATAAATGGGGCTTTGGAAGTATCATGATTGACTTCCTAGTAGATGCTGATAAAAAGCATCTTCTGATTCTGGCTTCTCAAACGTCAGGAAGAATTATTAACTAAGAAGCAATCTTTATCGCCCAGTATGTGGCGTCTGCCTTATGAGAGACACCGAGAGTTTACACCCCCTTTGCTGGTGAGGTACTTACAGCTATGGAAAATCGCTGAATGTTCTCGTCCTCGCAATCCTGGATGACCTGCTTCAGTCGGTAGTTGTCATGTGATTCTCCATCAGTCACTATGACCATGACCTTTTTAACGCCCCTCCTGGCACCCCGGGCTTCAGTGAATGCCTCTTTCCTGAAGGGAACACAGACCAAAGGGAGGCTGATCAAATCCAGCCCAAAGTCGGGCAACCTGAAAAGCCCTACAAAAATACATCAACTCCGCGAAGTCTGGCACTTCCCTCCGAGATGACCGTGGACTCCGCTGTCAGAGGCAAGCGGCACCGTGATCCCAGCTGCAATAGTTCCACAGTATCACACGTGATGGGGACTCACCATATTACCACTTGCCACATACGCCCATACAAAGCGCAGGGACATCTCTTCTTCGGAAGCTGTGTTACAGGGATGTCATGACTGACGTCAGTGTGGGAAAGAATACTCACGTCTACCGTCAGAAGTGCAGCTTGCGTGGTGGAGAGACCACAGACAGAGGAATAAAGATTTCTTCTTCTTTGCTTACCCTCAGGAAGAATCAAGTTGCATCAGGCTAGCATAGCAGCCCAACTTACATGATTTCTCCTAGTGAGCTTCCATCAAATGAGCCCCCACTTGGTCCCACATTAAATCCTTACTTGTCCTTATTTTTAAAAGCTGACCCAAATGTCACTCAACTGCAGCAACCCACTGCAATGGTCCCCATCTCAAAGAACTGCAAGAACAGCTTTTCCTCAGCGTGTACTTGAGACACAGACTTACTGATTTCTTTAAATGCTTAAACAAAGTTGAAGGCAGACGTCAAAGGCTGAGTTTTAAGAAGTTTAGACATGAATATTCTATGAGATTTAGTCTACTTTGCAATTCTAATTCCTTCGTGGATCGCCCAGAACTTCTGATTCTCTGGAAGATCAAGGTCCTAGCTGAACTTAATGAAGATCGGCAGAAGGAGATGGTTAGAAGTTTGTCCTCAGAGAAATTCTGGATGCTCTGAAACCAGAGCCAACTCTATATAACAGGAGAGCAGCCAGTCACAGACCCGCCTAGTCCACCCTTCTCTTCTCAGGGCCATTCCTTAAGGAGGTCGCGTGTCTAAACCACCAACATCTGACGTCCTTTCTGAGAAGGAAGCAGCAGCTTCTCCCCACTGGCCTTGAAAATTTTAAGTATCTCAGGAAAGTCTTACTTTGGGATAAGAGAATTCAGGATTTATGAGTAATTAAATAATTTAAACCTAGTTACAGGGACAAAAAAGAAGGGAGCATCCAAAGTGATTATGAACTGAACTGAATGAATTCACTGCAAATGAAGGTAACAGATGCCAAAACATTCAAAACATTTTTTTTGTAACGGGTTTCCCTTAAAAGGCATTAAACACAATCAAAACTGTGCTTGCGCATGCAAAATTAATGTGTGAGAAGAAAAGCGCTGCACTATCATTATAGTCTCTGTGTAACTCCAAACTGAATAGATTGTCTGCAGATAGACCACGAGAGAAGTGTGGGCCAACCCCATATAAGGCCATGGTATTTCAAGTAGCATTTATACAGGAGTGGAAGCAGCTACGATGATTCTTCCATTAGCTACAAAGATAAATATTCATTCTTAAGCTTTCGCCTTTGGAAAATGCGCAACTCTTTGCAGGCTCTGAGATTTCAAAGCAAGCTTTGGGGGTCTTTGAATGTGTGTTCATGTTTAGTCAGCTATTGAGGGCACTTTCAGAATACCTACACATGTGCTCTCCTTGTGTGGGCTGATACACACTCCTATAAGGAAATAAATGCATAGGTACCACAGCTGTTTGTGGGTGGTTTTGTGTGTGTGTGTGTGTTCCTGTAAAATTGGAATTATGTCCTTTTGTGGCATTTATGAATTATTTATGCCGTTAGCTTCCTTAGGGAATCAACTTCCCAGGCAGGTAGAGTGTGACCATAATAAATTTCTTTACAAAATCAACTAAGAGTCCAGAGGTGGAAACTACTTAACAGTATTATTCTTAAGGTGAATCAGAACACGTAGGAAGCTTCTCGTGAGCTAGGTTTTGCTTCAGAGTTTACTAGGCTTGATAAGAAGGACAGAAGGATGAGCTGTAACTAACAACTGAATGAGACTGGAGAAAATACAGGAAATACAGTGCTCTGCACTTGTAAAAGAGAAAAGTTTGAAGGTTCTTATAATACCGAATTTAACCACAGATCGATGAGCTGGAAGGCAGAGAAAATTTAGTAAAGAGGGAAGCATGCAAGACACCGCAGATGACGGAGACATCTCAATTTTTAAAACGGCTGTGACGAGATTATTTTTGATAAGGCAATGTTTAATTTGGCTTCTTAAAAATTCTTCTATGAGGACTGGGGCAATAGCCCAGTCACTAAAGTTCTGACCTTATAAACACGAAGACCAAGTTCGGTCTTCAGAACCCATGTCATAAGAAAGCTAGGCTGTGTGCAGCAAGCACGTGTCAATCCCAACGCTAAAGAATAGAGGCAAGATCCCTGCAGCTCCCTGGGCGTCAACCTTGTCTCCTCGCTGCGTTGTACACCATGGAAAAGGTCCTGTCTCACAAAAGTTCAACAGCCTGTAAAGTATGACTCCTGAAGTTGACCTCTGACCTCCATTGCACAGGCACAAGTGCATCTGTGTGTGCTCATGCATGCACGTGCACACATACACACACACACACACTGCACCAGTGTAACAAATAGATTTGTATAGACTCTTTTCAAAAAGAGACGCACTTGTGTTGTTATTGGCGTGCGTTCATCAGAGTTGTGGGAGGGGCTGGGCCTGTCTCTCCCCCAGTACTGTCTGGTATCTACTGGTCTCACTTGTTTAAGATAAGTTAGAGATGGTCTGATACATGACTGACCTCAGCATCAGAAAAGCGGGTGGGGGTAACCTCAAACCCATATTGTTTACTGTATAAGGCTTTGTGTCCTAGGCTAGTTAGATGTAGGGTTTGACATGGGTACAGTTCCAGCCAATAGGAAAAAAGAATAGAAATGTTGTGGGGGTGGTAGAAGTTTTAAAAAATGAATAGCTTGGTCCAAATCACCATACTGGCCATGTTTGCCTGGCCTGTCTGCCAGCATTTCCTTTCTGCAGAATAGTACATTAAAAACTACTTAATTTTCGCTAGTCTCTTGAATTTCTAATTGCCTTATTTCCAACACACACACGCACGCACATACACACACACACACACACACACGCACACACGCACACACACACACATGCTAGTTATATGAAAATTACTAAAATCCTTTATCAAGAGCTAGAGACACAAGAACATAGTAGAATATATAAGTTGAGTAGACACAGACTGTATCTTAATACAATCATTGATGCGCCTAGAAGTTAAAAATAAAAATCAAATGGCTACAAGAATGCCGCCAGGCCTTTCTGGCTGGTCAGAGGTTACAGTCTATCACGACCTGACAGTGTTTTCCAAGGCTCGATGACATGGAGCTCCGTCACCACCAGGGAAACTTCCTGCCCTCTACCTGCCCTTATATGGAGAGTGTCCCTGGGCCTGGAAGGCTGACGTTGTTTGAAAGCTGTCCCTAAACCTGGATGCCTGATTCATCTCTAGGGTGACCCTTCGCAGAGATTCCTGATAGAAGCCTCCCCTGCTGTACATACGGTAACTTAGACTTGTACTAGGAACTTGGCTGTAGCACCTGCTGCCACATCCAAAGCCTTATGATAGGAGCATGCCTCTTAGTGTGAATTGGCGTTTGTCTCCAGGCTCCCCAGTCTTATATGTTTCCTATATTCTGGAATAAAGATGAGCTAATTCACTGGAGTCTCTTCCAGAGGGCTGTCTCCATCATGTTCACATGCCATGCAAGGATCTCTGTCATCACTTCTGTCCCTTTGTCTTTGCACTTTGTCTTTGCAGACTGATGGCCAACTGACCGCAAAGACAAAGGGGAAGCCCCACACAATAATGAAAATGAAGTAGCAATTGATAACATGATGCAATAGACTATTAAGTTTTTGATTGATTCACCATCAGTTAGACCCTTGAAATGAAAGAAAAAGATAAGAAGGGCCATGAGACTATATTGCCATAGAATTTGATGGCCTCATAGCAAATCTTTTTAATGAAATTTGAAAAAATGTGGCATTGAATATTGTCCAGGCTAATACTGAGTTAAATTCAAAAAGCAAAAATAGCGAGCAGTGGTGCTGCATGTTCGTTTGAATTTTTTTATTTTCACTTTTTTCTTTTCTTTTTTGAGATTATAAAGGCATTTCTCTATTCCCTTTCCTCCATCAAAGCCCTCTCATATAAACTCTTCCTTGCTGTCTTTCAAATTCATGACCTCTGTTTTTATTAATTGTTGTTACATGCACACACATTATCATGTGTGTATATATGGATACACATACATACTTATACATGTGTATGTATGTATTCCTAAATATAACCTGCTCAGCACGTATCATGTTACTGGTATGGATGTTTTCCGGAATGACCAATGGATACATCTAGAAGACAACTCCGGTACTAAGGCTCAGGGAACACTGCAGAAGAGGGTACAGGAAGACAGGCCAAAGGACCAGGAACTTTCCTGTGAGATTTTGTCTCCTCGGAATGTCAGAAGCTACGCCCATCAAGACTCATCAATGAGATATTTAATCCATACCTGGCTGTGTCAATTCCAAGGGCTGTCATTGTTTGGAGACCACCTCTCCGGCCTATTTTGTTTGCTGCAACAAGTACCTCTTCTGTCGATGAATACTTATTGAGGTTGAATTCATGGGTTACGTTTTCCCCATACTGGACAATTCCAACCTGAAATACCAAGCCACGGTTGAGTCATGTGTCCAGCAAATACCCTGCTCGTTCTTCATGAGTTTAAATAGATAGGGCCAGGAGAGCACCTTTGAGTTTTTCGGTTAGTGTTGACCACTACCTAAAGTCTTCTATCTTGATCACAATAATCATGGATGCGTTGTGACTTTGAACAGTACAAAGAAGAACAATAAAAGACTTGTTTCACATGCATGAAGCTAATCTCAGAAGCGGTCAAAACTGTGCCCCTTCTTTCGTTCTCCTTCTTTAGTTAATATGAGCTGTTAACTTCTAGTAACCAATAGGAGACACTCATGCTACCCTAGAGTAAATAGGCAAACAAATAAACTGGCAATATTTTAAAAAGAAATAGAATCTGTTAATGTTCCCTTCTTTAGTTGGTCATAAGTATAAAATGAAGGAACTGGAGAATCTATAACTGTAAGATGAGGCATACGTTATAAGCTGTGTGAACATGAACTCTGAATAGTTTATGTATAGGATGACTTTGTCCTCCATGAATGCATTTTCACCCCATTTCTTTACTATACATTCCAAGACTATGTGTTGTTCAATTGGATTTGTCTTCTTTATGGGAATAAAGGGCAGGATTAGCCAACTAGTTACACAGAATACTGAAAACAAATGAGGACATACCCATGACTCCAATTCGTTATTTCCTTAATTGTATTTAAATAGTTTTACTATTTTTTTAGACTTAAACTTATTGTCTGTAGTGACAATACAGATTTAGATTATCAATCCTGATGAATATTGATCTCAGAAAGGGAAACCCATAAATATTTTGATGTTTGCCATTATAAAGGTGCAATATAGATTTAAATGAAATACTTTTGTTACTAAGATACTTATTATACCTAATCTCAAGTACCAAGCTTCATAAAGACTTCGATGGAAGTCCATTGTTCATGAATTTAAGACATCTCACAGAGCCTGTATCGTTTTTATTTTTATATTTTTAGTTAATTAGGCAGAAATCTAAAAACTTGAAATTTTTCCTCCCCCTTCTGCCATTATTTTAACAGTACTGAATATCCTAGTCTCTCATGCCTTTGACCTCCAGAGCTTTGAGACTCTTTCTCAAAGCTCATAGACTCTTTCTCTGACTCATAGATGACATCTCTGCTCAAGGACTTCCTGTCTTGGAATCTATCACCTGCAAGGGCAATGGTCTCAATTCTGAGTGTTCTCCTCTCCAGCCATTAGCATCACCTCCTTCGTCTGTTCCACCCAAGCTGTCAGTTACTTGACCATATCAGAACCTCTTGACTGCCAATACCTTTAGTAACCTAAAATTTAAGATTAGATTCCATGGTACAATGACTGTAAGCATCTACTTGCAAAAAATCTAGCTCATTTAACCTCTTTTCTCCTTCACCAAGTCACCTGGCTAACTTCCAAGTCTAGCTAATCCAGCTATCTCCGTGTGTGGTTCTGCAGTGCTGAGTGTTTCTACCCAAAATTCACTCCGCGTCTAGACCGACCTCCCACTAAAGATATATCTATGATCTCAAGTGGGGCCTTGCATTTGAGCCCCACCTAACAGTCACACAACTTGCTACTAATGGATGTAATTTGTTCCCATTGGTTGATTTCCACCAGATTTTCGTTAAGAGCTGTTAATGCTCACAGGAGAAAAGTGTTTATCTCAACTGGCCTGAGAAGAACTCACACGAGACGGAGAGAAGTCATAGCAACTATTCAAGGCTGCTGATGCCAGGGAAGTGTCAGGGCGCTGTTTTCACTCCGTGCCTCGCGTGGCTCAAAGAATCGGCTCTGAAGGTTGGAGTGTCTAAACCAATTATCTTCACCCTCCATGCTAAAATTCAAAATCTTCGTGATGTTTTTTGAATGAAAAATGTCTCTTGTGGACTAAGATGCTTGAATACTTAGTCCCCAGTTGGAGGCACTGTTTGGGGGAGATTTAGGAGCTGTGGCCTTGCTGGAGACATTATCACTGGGGTGGGCTTTGAGAGTTGATGGTGCATACATTTCTGGGCTTCACACCCGCTGTCTAACTTCTGCTCCAGTTGCCACACCTGCTGCTTGCTGTCCTGCTTGGGCTTAGCCCCTTGGAACCGTAAACCAAATAACTGTTTCCTTCTATAAGTTGTCTTGGTTGTGGTGTTCATTCACAACAGTAGATTATACTCTGTGGAGTATAATCTTATACTCTGTAAGTCAGAGACAAGTGCTTTATATTTTATTCTGATCATCTATTATCTAACAAATCTATCTATCAATCATATATCTCTCATCCATTTGTCTATGCTATCTACCCATCTATCTATAGTAATTATCTCTATCTATCTATCTATCTATCTATCTATCTACCTTCCTACCTACCTATCTCTTAACACACGCCTCACTTCAGCAAGCTTATTCTTTGCAAACTACAGGTGAGCTCACAGCAGTTGGTTCCCTCACCTTTGCTCTGAGCCTGACTTCTAACGACCCTACCCAAGACGGTTTTCACCTGACCCTTTAGGAACCCTGGCCTGGGTTGCTTTGAAAGTTTAAAGAACAGGAATCTCAAGGAAGGTTTCTTTCTCCCAGCCCATCACCCTCTCTCCGGCAGGACCTGAGGGCAGAGAGCGGCAGTGTGGTGCCTGGACTCCAGCTGCACGTCTCTTGTCCCTTGCAGGTGGGCCTGAGGCCTCTGCTCGACTTGAAACCACACTGGGCTTATTCGCTCACTACCCTGCTTGACTTCCCCGGATCCTTGCTTATTTTCCACAGGATGTGCTTCCTTAGCAATGCACACCTTGTGAACCCTCTTCCCATCATCTGCTCTCGGGAACCTCAGGCATTGCCTGTGCTCTCCTCTATTCCTTCCTAAGCCCAGAGCAGACATCATAGCCTTGAACCTCAACCACAGCAGTGGTTGTACTCTCTGTGCCCACTCTCGATGCCCCGCTATATAACACTGGGCTATGAACTGACACAATGCAGCCATCGCATTAAATCCCCATTCAGAACCCCCTATTGTTCTCCACCGCTGACATCAGTGACTCGGAAAAAATAGTTTCAGATAGTATTTTTACTCTCCTTTTAAAATGAAAAGAGAGAAAATATAATATCATTCATTGAAATGCCAAGTTTCTTGGGGGAAAAAAAAGGTCAAAGCCAGGTAGTGGTGGCACATGCCTTTATCCCAGTACTCAGGTGGTAGAGACAGGCAGAACTCTGTGAGTTCAAGGATATCCTGGTCTACAGAGTGAGTCAAGACTGCTAAGGTTACACAGAGGAACTAATCTTGAAAATGGAAAAAAGAAGAAAGGAAGAAAGAAAGAGACAGAGACAGAGACAGAGAGACAGAAAGAAAAAAGATAGAAAGGGAAAAAGAAAATATGAAAAAGGCAGAAAGACTCTCTCTCCCTGCAGCTTCGTTGTTCCATTCATTCTGTAAGACTCAACTCTACTTTTCTTGCAGAACATTTCTCCCCTTGCTGTCAACATAGCCCATCATAGCACCATTGACCTTCGCCTTCTGAGAACTCAGGGCAAGCCTGTCTACACTGCCTTCTTCTCGGCTGTGCTGTGTGCATGTCTTATCTTCACAAGGGCACTGAAGTTCCCAGAGACTGGCGGGGTAAAGAGTGTGGACTATGTCACAGCTTCTCGTGTTCCTTTATCCCTTCCTGCCACTTGTTTGGCTCATAGTTGACCCTCATGCATTCCTCATAGATGACTGTACCAGCGCAGAGACGCAAGTGGAAAACTGAGATATCAAAGAGGCAGTAACAGCCAGACTAAGAGTGTGGGAAATCAGACGAGGAGGTAGGAGAAACTCAGAGACTGGGGGAGGTGCCCTTCAGTGTTGATTGATGGCCAAAGCCGGATGCATATTGCCTTAGAAACTAGGCAGAATGAAGCCTACTGTGGGTCTTCACTGGAAAGGGGACCATTCATTAATTTTTATCATAAAAGTCAAATGATAATACATATACATAATATTATAGTGAGTGCTGGTAAGAACCAATTCAATATAGATGATTTCAGATCTAGATTAGCTTCTAATTTAGGGCAGATAAAACAAATCCATACAAGCATGATATACATGAATATGCACATGAAGTTAAGTAAATATGAAAATTAAAGATACAAAGTGATTCAAGCAATGAAGACAGGTCCTTGGGGGTCAAGAGGAGAAGGAATCATTCATATTCACCCCTTCACAATGAAAACCTTTATTGATGAAGGTACACCCAGGTAAGAAATACAAAGCAGATTAGAATATGCTATGGAGAGGAATAACAGGGCATTGATTCGTAATCAAAGTCAGGGGGATAACAAAAGGAGTCTAAGCCATTTGGGCACTTGAAGGAAGGAAAAATAATCAGTGATTAACCTAAAGTTGTCAAACTATTAGAATGTACAGAAACTCAAGAATAGAATTTAAGTAGGGAATTTTGATACACGATTCACATGGGAATGTTCTAGGTATTTTTGTTAAGTTGGCGGAGGGAGTAAGCAAGGATGACAGCTCATAAAAACAGGTGAGTTCAATCTGGACATTCTTTGTGGAGACGGTCAAGAGAATGGTGTGTATCTGGGACAGCAGATGAATGCAGAAATACTGGATTCTGGCTCTGAAGAGAGCTAATAAACAGTCACAAGGGACAGTTTTATTGAGAGATCATTGAAAGAGTCATGGTTAACACTGAGGAGAGGTGTGTGATTGGCAGACCAAAAGACATAGGGATGGAATGACAGCCTAAGACCAAAGCTTGACAACACCACAGATCTGTAATCCTAACAGTCAAGAGGTGGATGAGGCAATGATCAGAAGTTGAAGGTCACTCTCAGCTACAAAATGAGTTCGAGGCCAGACTGCCCTACCTTAACCCCGTCCCCAGAAACAGACAAACACACAAGAAAAGTTTGAAAGAAAAAAAAACCAAGCAAATAAAACAAAACAGTCTAGAGCCAGGAACCCAAGGGCCAGCTAAGTCTCCTACATAAAACAGACCCTCTAT